GTCAAACGTTTAATCGTGAATAATCGCATCCAAAATAAAAGTGTGTTTACATAATATATATGGGTGCATTGTGTATAATTATTTTGTGTGTATATATATATATATATATATATATATATATATATATATATATACAGTATATACATGAAAATATTAAATATACAAGCATATATATATATATATATTAGGGCTGTCAAACGATTAATCGCGATTAATCGCATCCAAAATAAAAGTTTGTGTTTTGATAATATATGTGGGTGCACTGTGTATTCTTCTTTTATATATAAAAATACACACACATGCTTGTATATATTTAAGAAATATTTTCATGTATATACTGTATATAGATTTATTTATAATTTATATTATATATAAATATAAATATTTTGGTCCCACTTTATATTAAGTGGCTTTAAGTACTATGTACTTAAATTTAAAAATAAGTGCAATGTACTTATTGTGCTCATGTTGTATTGTAAATCACTTTTGGTGCTATTGAGGTGGGATACGGGTAAGGTTAGGGACAGGTGTGGTGGTATGGGTAGGTTTAAGTGTAGGTTTAAGTGTAAGGGATGGGTCAGCTGTGTAATTACAGATGTAATTACATAAATTAAATAATATTTTACATATAAATGATATATATTTTTAAATATACATGCATGTGTGTGTATTTATATATATACAAAATAATTATACACAGTGCACCCACATATATTGTGCAAACACAAACTTTTATTTTGGATGTGATTAATCGCGATTAATCGTTTGACAGCCCTAATATACACAAAATAATTATACACAATGCCCACATATATTATGTAAACACAAACTTTTATTTTGGATTGTTTGACAGCCCTTATAACTACACAACTATCTCTCAAACATGATTGTTCTTTCTGTTTATTTGACGTTTTTTCTTTTCCTCGATCTGGCCTCATTAAAAGAAACACCTCATAGTCAGGTTCCCAATACACACACACACACACACTGTATTGAGTATGAGTGTAAATGTCAAAGAAACTGCATGAAGAGGGCATTGCAAAAACAACACACTCTATGTCTGTAATAAGGTACTTGTAAATAATGCATATGCCACGGTTTTGCTTCATCAATAATGCATGGACCACAACAAAACATAAGTATAAAATTATTTTTCTCTTCTCAAAATGAGTTGGTGTATAGTAACTGGCCATCTTTGTGCAATGGATTCAAATAAAAGGTATGCAAAACAAACAGTTTTAGAGACACCAAAGCCCTCTTTCACTGATGAAGATGAACCACATCCACAATCACCACACAATAGGGCTTCATATACTGTATATTGGCTAACTGAAATATCTCTATATATCTGTCTATAATGCCTTGATGAAAGGTTGGTTTATGTTATGATTTTGAAGCCAGTCATTTAACACTGCGTATATGAGGTGACATTTCTAAAGCCTTGGCTCGTTTTGCTCGTTTTATATTGAAAAGAACAGGTCAGACACTGTCTGATTTTACTCTCACATTGCAGCCTGCTCTTAGAAAGACTATCATAAGATGAGCCTAATACATACATAATAATTTCTGGTTGTATCACTTCAGGTTAACATTTCTCAAAAGTATTGTGCCTAAAATATTTATTCTGCATGGCTGATTTGGAAAGCCACTGAAGTGGTCACGTGAGTACGGCAACCAAAAACCTGAATACCAACTAGCCCTCTTTGATTTAAATGCATGATATTCATTTAAACAGTTGAATCTGGCTTTACAATACAAAGCTAAACTAACACCAGCAGTGGCTAACATGGACATTCATTTCTATTGGTTATAATGTTTATTTGTATGCATTAGAGAATGTATATATTATAAAAATATTTTATTACTATAGACCTTATGTAGCCCCGCCCCTTTTCAGTGCTGCGCACGTAGTCTTTTGACTTACGGTCTGTATTTTGACAGCGATCTTGCATAGGTATGAATGAACTGCTCGTAAAAAAAATTCCCGGTCGACATTTGTTAAGACATCTGCTTTACAATGCTTATAATAAACTCTAAAATTTCTTTTGTTAACTTCTATATTTCTAAGCGATGCCATAGAAACAGAGCGACCGCAAAAACGGAAGTTCAAAGACAATATTCTAAAGATGACGGCGCCCACGTTTCTCTGGTGCATAAGGTCTATAATTATAATTATTTGTTTTTCAGTACCCCTTTCTGCATGTTACATAGTTACCCAAGTTGGTGGTGACAAAGGGCTGACTGTTTGAGTGAGTCATGAATCATTCACAAACGTTTCTTTAAAAAAAAAAAACAAAAAAAAAAAACGATTAATTCAGGAACAAAACAATTTTATGAGTGAGTCATTGAATCATTCATTCAACTGAAACGCTTGCTGAATATAAACCCGCATTTTTTAGCATACTTCTAGTATGATTTATTTGTGCCATGACTTTGTTTGTAACCATTTCCGTTGACCGAGCAAAAGGAAACAAAGTAGCTGGCAATACTGAAACTAAAATATATGGAAACTTTAAGACCGTGTGTCCACCAAAGCATTTTTATACGTGCCTGGCATATGTTTTCAATTGTTTTCAATGGGAGCGCCGCGTTTTTTAAACGCCATGAGCGTAACGAGGCGCTGAGCGTTTTTTTCAAGCTGAAGCGCCGGCCGCCCAGCATTTTTACTGGTCGCCGAGAGTTGAAAAATGTTCAACTTTGGATTAAAATGCAGCGCTCATCACTGTCACTTTTTACCCAGCCGTACAATCACAGTGGAGGAGGGGCGGGACTAAACCACACTGACCAACTGTCACAACATTCAAACTGTGCTGCAGATATTCTGTATCATAGCAACAAAACTTCTCAATGGAATAAAAAACCCTGTGCTGCCAAAACACTCTCAAGCGCCCAAAGCACGGCGTCTTCAGCAGAGCGTCGAGCGTTTTCAGCTTGCTAAAAACGCTTTGGTGGACACACGGCCTAAGGGGACATGGTGGTTGAAAAAAAAAAAAAAATAGGGAGGAAAAAATAAAAAGCCAATGCTTTTGGGTTCTCTCACAAAAAGTTTTGTGGTTTTGCGAGTGAATGCAACGTAGACTTCGTCATACTCAAATTCTAGTCAGAATATGAGTCTGATACTGCTCCGTAGGGCTTTGATTATGAGGCGTGTCTTAACCGAACCAGGAAAAAAAAAAAAAAACCCTCTGCACTTAATTGGATAGTCGGTAAACCTACAACCAATCAGAGCAACGCAGTAAGTTAACTCCTTTGCATAGCGCAGTTTTCAACTATAGAACTTACTTATTTTAGAAGTAAAATAACGAGTGTTGCTTCTTTCGGCAACAAATATCTTTCCTATCGACAAATGCCTTGATTGCAGTTTTCTGTTCGTCTATTAAAATGAATGCGCTGTAAATTTATTTTACAACAGACGTGACAGCAGAATCTATACATCTCAATTCTCCAGCTGCAGTCATCTCATCTAAGCTCTTTGATAACGTGAAGATTACGTCCCTGCAGATCATCTGTCCATCATCGTATAAAGCCCGCCCTGGCAATCTGATTGGCCCGCTCATTTTTTTGACCGATCATAATTTCTCCTTAATGGATCGAGTCCAGACCGAACTTCCCAACCAAAAAATGTTGTGGGCGGGGTTTGGCTGGCATCCAGGCTAACGTTTCTCAGGAAAACGCAAACATTTTGCGAGCGACCGCAAAGTTTCTCAGGGAAATTTCAAAAAAAAAATAATAATAATAATTGCGATAGAACGCAAAAGCATTCCTATATACATTTTCCTCCCATCTCATATTTTTTCTTCACTGTGTCCCATAAGGGGCTACGTAAAAATGCAACTTGCAACGATAGATAGATCTAAAGTACATGGCACCCTTTAGCGTCAATATAAGGTTATGGGTAGGTTTAGGTCTGGGGTAGGGATAGGGTTAGAGCACTAGGAGGCGCCTTCTGCCCCATATATATCTGCATCTCATATTGATGCTAAAGGGTACCATGTGAGTTAGATGTTTACGCATTGGCAAAAGCGTCAGTATATGACGCCTTGGGATGAGAACGGGCTGGCTATATTTTAAAAAATCTTACTGACCCCAAATTTTTTAAAAGGTAGCCTACTGTATACTCTCTCTCTCTCTTTTATAATAATCAAATACAATTCAGGCTGCAAACACCATTTCATGTTAACTTTAAAATAGTTTTAACTGAAGTATATCAGTTCATACTGCAGTCACTGCGAAAACTGTCATGTCAACAACCACCTGTGATGTAACTCCTGAGTAACCCGGTTCACTCATATATTCAAGATACCGTTGTTCTTTTCCTTTTAAGAATATTTGGTAAACAATATTTCCTGAAATAGCTCTGTTACTGTTCAGCTTAAATCATTGTTTTAACCCCCCTCCCACACACAAACACACACACAGAATTGATATACAGTTCTGCATCTCAGAGGTGTCAAAGGTTTTGTTTCGAGTGACAAAAAGCAAAGCTCACAGATACAACTTTGAGCTCAGATCAGACAGAGCGTGCTGTACGCTGCTTATCTATCCCAGCAGCCTTTGAGGTGTTGCTGCTCTGAGATCATTCACATGCACTCCCAGTCTGAGAGATACAGAGATGAGGAAATATGACCACCATTGGTGTGGGAGGAATATAAACAGAGTGGTATAGACAGCAGACGGGGTTGGGGGTCCAATATCAAAGAAATATGGCAAAATGATGCTCGCTGCATGACTACTGGGACTGGGAGCAAGAGAGATTGAGCGAAGATCTGTTTTAATGTAGCGTAATGTAAATTTAGAGAGCAGACCCAACCCCCTTTACTTTAAACAGACAGTAAGTTATTTCTTTCCACTTTAAGAATTTAATATGTACAAATTATTAGTACTTCTGAATAAAAACTTGAGACATATCAATGGCCACAGATGTATAAGATAAATAACTTAAGAGTGGTTTCAACTAATGTTGCATTTAACTGATTCAAAAAGGATTTGGGGCGTCTTACCTTGGCGATCTGAACACACCAATTGAGCAGTAACTGGGAGCCGATGTTGTCTTTGTGCTCGTGCACGTAGTCCAGCAGACAGCCGTGGGGCATGAGCTGAGTGACCAGCTGGATGGTTGGGCTCAGACACACACCCAGTAACCGCACCAAGTGCGGATGCTCCATGCTGGCCATGATCAGAGCCTCCTGGAGGGAAAAACAGTGACACAGGAATAATAACCGATCAATCACAATGAGTGGATTAAATGTCAAATTTTACAGCATGTAAGGTAAATGTCTTAAACTGTTATTTTATTAAATGAGTAGTTCACTTAAAAAAACAAAAAACAAAAAAAAAAACTTGTTGATAATTTACTCAACCCCATGTCATCCAAGATGTCCATGTCTTTCTTTTTTCATTTGAAAAGAAATAAAGGTTTTTGATGAAAACATTCCAGGATTTTTCTCCATATAATGAACTTTACTGGGAACCAAACAGTTCAAGGTCCAAAAGACAGTTTCAGTGCAAACTGCAAACTGTTCAAAGGGCTTTAAACGATTCCAGACGATGAATAAGGGTCTTATCAATCTTATCAATGGTTGCCTTGCTCTGTAAGGGTTAGTGTGTGATCAAAATGAACAAATCTTTTCCCGAGTCAACTTATACATTTTGCTCGTTGAATGAACCAAATGACACTAAAAAAGATTCGTTCATTTTGATAAACAAGTTGGAACAGGAGAGTCACGAACGCACGTCACAGAACAGAGCAAGGCGAGCATTTGAGCTTGTAAAACTTAAACTTTGTTATTTATTTATTAAAGAGTGATCATTTCGATTGATAAGACCCTTATTCATCATCTGAAATTGTTTAAAGCCCTTTGAACAGTTTGCACTAAAACTGTCCTTGGACCTTAAACCATTTGGTTCCCAGTAAAGTGCATTATATGGAGAAAAAATGCTGGACTGTTTTCATCAAAAACCTTAATTTCTTTTTGAATGAAGAAAGAAAGACATGGACATCTTGGATGACATGGGGGTGAGTCAATTATCAGCACATTTTTTTTAACTTTTTTTTAAAGTGAACTACTCCTTTAAGTAAACACAGCTGGTACTTTTAGATACACACACACTGTTGAAAAGTAGTGGTATCGACAGTCTTCAGTGTCACATGATCTTTCAAAAATCATTCATGCTGATTTGCTGCTCAAGAAACACAAATTCGTATTATCAGTGTTGATAATACGAACCCCCCCCCCCCACCCCCTTAAGTTCAAAAGAGAGCATTTATTTGAAATAGAAATCTTTTGTAACATTATAAATGTCTTTACTGTCACTTTTGATCAATGTAATGCATCCTTGCTAAATAAAAATATAAATTTCTTTCCAAAAAAAAAAACCAAAAAAAACAAACATCTTACTGACTCCAAACTTTTGAATGGTATTGTAAGTTACAAAAGCTTTCTATGCAAGATAAATGCGGTTCTTCAGAATGTTCTATTCATCAAAGATTCCTGAAAAACAATGTTTACACACCAGTTTAATCAATTTCAATTCAATTAAGCTGCACTACCTTATTTTGTGTTGTGGAAGCAGAATTTATTTAAATGGATATCTTTTGTAACATTATATTTACTGGTTATATATTTACTGTCACTTTTGATCAATTTAATGTGTCCTTGCTAAATCGTACTGACCCCACACACTTTTAAACGGTAGTGTGCTTTACTGTTGCACAGCTCATACCAACAATAAATTATCTGTTAAAAGATGGCATATTCTGAAGCAAGATAAACAGTGCATGCCTTATTGGGCTACAAATATGTGAGACTGAATGACAGTGTCTTATATTTGACAAATGAGAGCTTGTTTCAATTACAAAAAAACAGAAGTGCATACATGTTACAAAGACAATTTATTCAGGATTTGTTCTGAAGCACTTCTCATGCATGTTGGAACACACACGTCCCACTGAGATGCATAAGTGAAACAGCCCAATTGCGCAATTGAATTGCGTAAGCTGGAGGATTTACTAGGCAGACTTATTACCCATAAATCACTAAGACTGGACACTTGCATGCTGAAGATGAGCACCTACATAATTTAACAAAATCTTTATTCTTGTCTATTTCAGTTACTGTGCTTCAGTAGTGTGATCAAGTAAATCAAAAATTAGAAATCCTACAAAACGAGAACACATTTATGATCTAAATTCCAGTTTATATCCAACATATTTAACCTGTGGTCCAAACAAAAGAAGCCACAGAATATAAAAGTATCAGGGAGTAAGAAAACACAGAACATAAAAAAAATACATATAATTTCCACACACAGCTGAGGGGATAATTCAGAAATAATATCTAAACCTCAGGCCTTAAGGTTGTATTACTGCAATAAAAGATACCTCAGCCATTAATATGATTTCAGGCCTTGGAGGGATCCTCTTACGTTTGTTTGAACATTTTGGAAAATAGCGTGTAACACACATCCAACATCCACAAACACACACACAAACCCATTATCTGAACACTACATAAAATGACACACTTGACAGTTATATAATGAGCATTCACACTCCTGCTATTCTCCAGCTGCTGAGATGATTGCGTGCCCGTCCAATCAACAGCGGAGGCCAGCGTATACACGTCTAAGCCGCCTTCACGTGAGTGGATCTGTTCATCTACAAACCCTTAAGAATATTCTAAAAGTGAAATGCCCATTAACACTGATGAATTGTGGGAAATACCTTACGTGCGGGAGTCGTGGAGAGGATGCTTTTTAATGCACGCACATATGCTCAAATATCGTACTGAAGACAAACACATGCATTACTCACATGAAAAAGGACTGGCTTCTACGCGCAAATAAGCAGGAATAACTTAAGACATATTTTTTGATTGCACTCAGCATGTGTGTAAGGAAGGGCCTTTGGTAAGTGTTTCATAGTCCTTGCATCATCTAAGAAGATGTTTCAAGGTTTACATGCATTTTTCCTTTTGAACTACAAAAGAGCTGAATATTCGCTTACTGGAATTACACAAACTACAGCCTTGCAACAGAGTGACACTCACATCCATGAACTCCACATTGGCTTTGGGACCCGTCGCCTCATTCAAGATCTTGATGGCCACGGGAATCTTCACAGTCTCACCCTCAGGAACCCAGATACCCTGAAATCACACACACAAAAAATATATATTTATTAGAGGTAATTGGGTGGAAATGCACTGTTTTTTTTATGTGGAAAATGTGAATATTAATGCAAAATTGATGCTAGACTGTTGATAAAGTCTTCTGAGCTGTTCTTAACACACTGCTAAGGTGTTCTGGGTGGTTATTATGGTGTTTTAGTTGTTTAAAAAAAGTCTACACTCAAATACCTCCTTCAAAGTATGATACTTTCATGAGTTTTGATCACTTTTGATTTGAAGTGCACTTGGGGTTGATTACATATTTTAATGATTTTGAAAGAGGTCTCTTATGCACACCAAGGCTCATTTATTTGACCAATCTAGTTCAAAATAATCTTCAGAAAACAGTTGTGCTCCTTAAATACGGAGCCCCCCTAGTTCCACTTTGGCAAAAAAACAACAACAAACAATTATAACCATCTCGTGGCCTCAAGATACTAACTCGTGACCTCAAGATACTAACTCGTGGCCTCAAGATAGTAACTCGTGGCCTCAAGATAGTAACTCATGGCCTCAAGATAGTAACTTATGGTCTCAAGATAGTAACTTATGGTCTCAAGATAGTAACTTATGGTCTCAAGATACTATCTCATGGCCTCAAGATAGTAACTCATGATCTCAAGATACTATTTTGTGGCCTCAAGATAGTAACTCGTGGGTTCAAGATACTAACTCGTGGCCTCAAGATACTAACTCGTGGCCTCAAGATAGTAACTCGTGGCCTCAAGATAGTAACTTATGGTCTCAAGATAGTAACTTATGGTCTCAAGATACTATCTCATGGCCTCAAGATAGTAACTCATGACCTCAAGATACTATTTTGTGGCCTCAAGATAGTAACTCGTGGGTTCAAGATACTAACTCGTGGCCTCAAGATACTAACTCATGGCCTCAAGATAGTAACTCGTGGCCTCAAGATACTAACTCGTGGCCTCAAGATACTAACTTGTGGCCTCAAGATACTAACTCATGGCCTCAAGATAGTAACTTATGGTCTCAAGATAGTAACTTATGGTCTCAAGATACTATCTCGTGGCCTCAAGATACTAACTCTATCTTGAGTCCACGAGTTACTATCTTGAGGCCACAAAATAGTATCTTGAGGTCACGAGTTACTGTCTTGAGGCCATGAGATAGTATCTTGAGGCCATAATATAGTATCTTGAGGCCACGAGTTAGTATCTTGAGGCCACAAGATAGTTATAATTATTATTATTTTTTATTTTATTTTTTTGCCAAAGTGTGACTAGGGGGGCTCCGTACCTTACCATTTTGGCAAAAAAACAAAAAAACAATTATAACCATCTCGTGGCCTCAAGATACTAACTCGTGACCTCAAGATACTATCTTGTGGCCTCAAGATACTAACTCATGGCCTCAAGAAAGTAACTTGTGGTCTCAAGATACTAACTCGTGGCCTCAAGATAGTAACTCGTGGCCTCAAGATAGTAACTCGTGGCCTCAAGACAGTAACTCGTGGCCTCAAGATACTAACTCATGGCCTCAAGATAGTAACTCTATCTTGAGTCCACGAGTTACTATCTTGAGGCCACAAGATAGTATCTTGAGGTCACGAGTTACTATCTTGAGGCCATGAGATAGTATCTTGAGGCCACAAGTTAGTATCTTGAGGCCATAATATAGTATCTTGAGGCCACGAGTTACTATCTTGTATAATTATTATTATTATTTTTTTTTTTTGCCAAAGTGGGACTAGGGGGGCTCCGTACCTTAAAGGGCACCTATTATGCCCCTTTTTACAAGATGTAATATTGGTCTCTGGTGTCCCTAGAATGTATTTGTGAAGTTTCAGCTCAAAATACCCCACAGTTAATTTATTATAACCATTTGAAAATGTCATTTTGGGGCCTGCTTAAAAATGACCTGTTTCGGAGGTATATGGCTTTAAATGCAAATGAGCTGCATATCCCCGCCCTGCCTTTGGATGAGGGCGTAACTTGATACCTATGGCAGTCGGTAAGCAGAAGGGCTAAGAGAGTGAGAGACGCGCTGTTTTGAATGTCATTCAGCGTACGTTTGAATCGAAATATAAAAAATTGCACGAAGAGACTCCGGCAGAATAAACACAAATGAGAATGGACCAGTACGTCTCGGTATGGTTATTTGATACATTTATGTACTTTAGCGTTGTAATCGTGTTCCCTTTGAAATGATGGGCATGTGCAACACACACACACAGACACATTAAACACTAATGCTGGCGCATTTTTTTTAAAATTACATACACATAGGCTACTGTGATAAAGTTTGCTACGTACAAGCGAAATTACATTTATGCGAGGGACGGGGACCTGTGGCGTCATGTTTACTTGTCATACGGGTGCTTATGTGGCAAATGTGAGGAGATGGCTAACATACAGAACAACAACATATATGCAGTTTTAATACAATATCTTTAAATATATATAAACGTGTGGTTACACACTATACAAACAAGGTTTAAATTATATAGCCTACACAGACATCCTACGACGACAACAACTTTAGACGCATTTGTTGTTGAATTGGCGGACATTGACTGAAAAGACTATTTGCTCAAAAATCATAAAACACACTTACTGTTACTGGATGTGACGGTGGATCGCAAACAGTAGATGAGGATTCCACAGTTGAGGATTAACTTTTAAGCTACAACAACAGGATTAACCCACGAGTCCACGACAGAACACTTATGTTTCCAAGAGACATAACAGGTAATGGAGGATGATGATGTGTACACTGTACAGATCACCGAGGGCGGGGTCTAGGCCACAGCCACACTGTCAATCAACCCCCTGTCTCCCGTTCTACGTCACAAAGAGCTGAATCTCAGAACAGCTCGTTCTGAGGCAGTGCATATGATTTATTGAGATTGTAAAAAAACCACTGGGTGGATTTTTATCATTCTAGGGTGGTTTTGCTCACACACTGCCAACACACATTTATGTTCAAACACCATGTAAAAGTGAATTTTCCATAATAGGTGCCCTTTAAAATTTGGATATGTTGAATATCTATTATAAATTCTATTATACATAGAAAGTAAAAAGATCAGCATTCATTCGATTTTGTTCAAGCGATGTAAATGTTGATAGATCTTTTCTGAATACAATTATATATATAAAAATTATATATATATATATAAAATAAATAAATAAAAACAAATCAATATTTAGGGCCCTGTTTTATTTTGTGGGCGGATCTCGATCGCTGTTGCTATTATACCGGTGGGATGGCAAATCTAAAATGGGTTGGTCTGAAGTAGCTGCATTACTCATAGGTGCGGTTTGGGAGTAACGTACAATAAACCAAATCAAAGGGTCTTTTCACATTCCCTTTAAAAGCAGGCACACTTGTTCCATAGTGGATAGCTATTATAATGGCGGATTTACCAAGCGCATACCAGGAATGGTTCACAGCCGAGGAGACAGACGTTCTCATCAGGGCCGTAAAAGACAATGTCACAAAAGTGACATTGTATGGGTATGGGAGAAACCCACCCAAATTAGCTTCGGTTAAACAGGCTTATTATAATTTGGGAAAATGTGTAAGCTAGTTTTATGCCTATTTTTTTCCCATCTTCATGGACACCACAATGATTTCCCTCATGTGTTAATATTTTTACTTGTAATAATGTATGATTTGCAAAAATGAGAACTGCTGCGTCTGTAGATGAGAGAAGCAAAATGTATACGTGTTGTGCGCTACATTAGGCCAAGCATGCGCCCTTAAAATAACATCAGAATTACACACCACTGACTTTAGACTAGGATTTTCCTGGTCAGTGGTGGAATCGTTTTCTGGAACTGTAAAATAGCACCAGGGAACGTTTGCGCCAGAACATGCCTCCTCTTGTCGCTGAACCGCCCCTGGGAGCGCAAGTTCATTCCCTAATTTAACCGATTTGCGTCTGTGGAGGGAAAAGTCTGCTTTGCGTCAGGTGCAAAACAGGAATGATACATGCGTCGGTACGTACAAAGTCAATTGCGCTCTGTGCAAAATAGGGCCCTTAGTGTCAAAAGGATAGCTCACCCCAAAATTTTAATTTTGACATTAATTACTCAATGTCATTCCAAACCCAAAAACATCTTCAGAACACAAATGAAGACATTTTTGATGAGTCCCTCCATTGACTGCTATGCAACTACCACTTTGAATGCTTAAAAAAGTTATAAAATCCTAATAAGATAATATTAATATCTGTTCATCATATAAAGCCATCATGTCTCTTTGGACTAAACCGCTCAATTCATATGGATTAGTTTTACGATCTCTTTATGAACTTTTTGAAGTGCAGAAGTGTCAGTTGCGTAGCTGCCAATGGAGGGACAGAAAGCTCTCAGTTTTCATTAAAAAGATTTTTTGTGTTCTGAACAAAGGTCTTACGGGGTTTGGAACGAGATGAGGGTAAGTAATTACTGACAGAATTTGAATTTTTGGGTGAACTATCCCTTTAATGGTGTGTTCACACCGGCGAATAGCGCGTCAGGCGCGAGTGTTTTCAATGTTAAGTCAATGCAAAGACGCATTACAAGCGTAAAAAAATCCTGCGGTGCGGTAGACATGAATACGCCTCATTCGCTCGTCAAGTTCGTGCGAATTGAGCGTCTGGCGCATTAAACGTGTTACACCGCGACGCCGCAACACGCGATAAAAGGTCTCTTTTCCTTGTTTTTGTCCTAACCAGACGCGACGGCGACACGCAAAGTTTCTAATTTAGAAACGTTGCGGCTGACAGATCCGCCCACACAGAGATATTACACTGGTTATGAGTACACATTATTTATTTTTAGTTAAAAATATGTCACTGTGCCACAAGCGATAACGGATAATTTACCTCAGATTTTGAAAGCATATAATATAGCGTTCAAAATGAATTCTATGCAAACATACAACTGTACTTCATAACAAAATTAGTCAATGAGTATATTTTGTTAATGTTTTGATTTTTAATAATGTTATTTCTTGAGTTGATTCTGTCCTTACCCATTTCCAGTGTGCTTTCACAAAGAAACTCCACCCACACGTTCTGAATGGCTGTGATTTTTGATTGACGTGTGGCAGCTCACACTCGCTGGAATTTTATTGCGTCGTGTGTAGTTAGGACACAGTGTTACGCGCACATTATTTAGTCAGTGCTATTTGTGCATTCACGCGTTTGACGGGAATTCACGCCTGGCGCCCGAGTTCTGAGAAAATGAACTTTGGCATCAATTCGCGCCGCGTTAACCAATCAGGAGCCTGCTGCTTGCTCACGTGGTATCTGGATGCTTCAATAAAATATTTAGTAATATAACTAAATACATGGTGTGGTTCTAATGCACAACAAAGCAAATATTTTATCACTTAAAACGTTATTTCAATATATGAGACATGTTCATTTTGTATTGAATGTTATTTATTCCATATCTAGATTATATGAAATATTATTATGATGTAAAGATAACCAACATACATGTGCATAAGTTCGTGTCTGGACGTGAGAGAGAGAAAAAAAAAAACACAACAGGTTGTAACTTTTGGTGGCTGGCTCTATTTATCATCAAAACAAAAATAAATGGATGAGGGCGAGGGTGATCCTCGCTCCAATGTGGGACAACAGGTCATCAAACTGGGCGCGGGACACGCGGAAGTACCGCTGACAGCGGCCATCATCCATCGCAGCTCCTTAAGTGAGCAAATGGTGAAACTCGCCAAACGGTTCGCCTGCGAAGGGCCTGGTGGACACAAATATACGGCGACGATGATCCCCACGCCACTGTTCTAGCTCTCCAGAGTAAATACAGTGCGGCGACTCTCTCGATGAATGCTCGATCAACATAAAAAAGATGGCCGCCAACAGGTTTCGATTCTGGTCAATTTCGCTTCAAACTTTTGTTTTTACACGCATCAATTTGGCTCTTAACGCGCGAATGGATTCAAAGTGTTCAAGCGTATAACTAGGCATGAATTTGACGCGCTATTTGCGTCCGGTGTGAACGCGCAGTAAGTGTTTTAGTTACACATTGTAATAGTTACAATAATGCTTTCCTTATCAAAATATACTGGCTGCACAGATCTGTCTTCAGTTCGCTCTGTCTCCTCTTTGATGTCATTACCTTGTAGACGGTGCCAAAGGCCCCGGCTCCCAGAATCTTCACCCGTTTCAGCTCGGTCTCCTTCAGAATGCGCAGTTGGGCCTGGTTTGGGGCCGCACCGCTGGGAGTCAGAGGCTCCACCAACTGAGACACACAAAGCAATGCTGTCAGTGACGCTAAAACCAATCTGGACATTGAACGTTTGACCATAACTCAAATAAATTGAATAGCCCAGACAATAGTGTATGAATTCCTTGTAATTTATTTAGTTTTTCTGAGCCATTACTGTATGTGGTGCATATAAGAGTTTGGGAGTTCAATCAATGCATAAGAACCCCTGGTGATAAAGGAACTATTGAAATGCGATGAGAAAGAGAGGGACAGAGATAAGAGGAAAAGGCAAAGAGAGAAGATACAGGAAAGAAAGACTGAAATAGAGAAGGTTAACCTGATAAAAATATGAAGGGAGAAAGTGTGTAGGAGAGATTGGGAAGCGTAAGAGAAAATGAGAGTTTTAGAGAGAGAGCGTAAATCAGCCGTTCTATCGACCCTTTGCGTCGTCCCCCGGCTCATCACAGTGCCTGATTAAAAAACAATAGCACTTCTTCATTTAAATGGAATTGTAAATCAGGAGCCAGAACACAGAAGGCGGAGGAGAGCCAGGGGAGAGGACGAGCCGTGATCCAGGGAGCTGTCCGCCGCAGGCGGTGCTGAAACACAGATCAGCTGTCCGTGGTGCTGAAAACCCTAAGTGGCATTGTGCTGCTCCAACTTAATATGAATTTATAGTGATAGGAACAGCCTGTTCCGGTGAAAATTGAGATATGGGGAACGTTCAAGACCGCATGATGTCCATTTTCACAAATACGTGCTTTCTTATGTGGCATGCGTGGGCCAGCTCCAGATTATTCTATGGAGCATCTGAGGAGCATTACACTCTTCGTTCAAAGCCTGAGGCCATAAGGATATATGCAAGCATGAAGACGAGAGGTTGGAACCTTCGGGCATTGAAACTTGCGCAACCTGCACTATTTATGAACCCTCCCACCCACACTGTGATATGAAAAATAAACAACAATATTAAGAGGATGGATAGAAGGAGATTGAGTAAATGAAAAGACAGGACATAAACGGTAATCATTAAGAGGAAAAAATAAGCCATAAGTGAGGCCAAAATCCCACCAGCAAGGACACAACTTCTCATTAATGTTCATTTAATTAACATTCAATCTCTTTCAAAAGAGGCGCAAAGATAGGCTATTTTCCTCAGCATTGGAATAATTCAGTTTGACTGTTCATGAGGTTTACATACAGTAGTAATCAAAACAGACTTAGTTATGTTCTTTTAACTTAATTTTTATAATGTTGAACTACGTTTTGTCATTTTGTATTTAATATCATCATAAAAACAATATTAAAGGAGTAGTTCACTTAAAAAAAAAAAAAAATAAATAATAACTTTTGCTGATAATTTACTCACCCCCATGTCATCCAAGATGTCCATGTATTTCTTTCTTCAGTCGAAGAAAATTAAGGTTTTTGATGAAAACATTCCAGGATTTTTCTCCATATAATGGACTTCAATGAGAACCAAACAGTTCAAGGTCCAAAAGTGCAATACACATTTTCAGTGCAAACTGCAAACTGGTTAAAGGGCTTTAAACGATTCCAGATGGTGAATAAGGGTCTTATCAAGCGAAACAATCGTTCATTTAATAAATAAATAACAAAGTTTAAGTTTTATAAGCTCAAATGGTTGCCTTGCTCTCTTCTGTGATGCACGGATGTTCGTGACTCTCCTGTTGGAACTCGTTCATTAAAATGAACGAATCTTTTTTTGAGTCATTTGGTTCATTCAATGAACGAAATGAACAAATTGACTCGGAAAAAGATTCGTTCACTTTGGTAATCGAGTTCCAACAGGAGAGTCACACAGAACAGAGCAAGGTGAGCATTTGAGCTTATAAAACTTAAACTTTTTTTTTTTTAAATGAGCGATAGTTTCGCTTGATAAGACCCTTATTCATCGTCTGGAATCGTTGAAAGCCGTTTGAACAGTTTGCAGTTTGGTTCCCATTGAAGTCCATTAAATGAGGAAAATCCTGAAATGTTCATCAAAAACCTTAATTTATTTTCGACTGAAGAAATAATGACATGGACATCTTGGATGACATAGGGGGGGGGGGGGGGAGTAAATTATCAGCAATTTTTTTTTTTTTTTAAGTGAACTACTCTTTTAAGGTTTTGACAATTAAACAACATATCAATCAACAGATTATGATTGTTACTGCTAAGACAGAGAGAACAGTCTGTTTTCTGAATGCATGCTTAAGTAAAAAAATTAAAGAAAGAGAAAAAAAGATGTACTGTGTCTAACCTCAGTCTCCAAGAAGCGTCTCAAGGCTCTTTTCTTCTTGATGCTCTTCCTTCTGACTGATATGGCAACACTCAGACCCACAATGATCACCACAAACAATCCCCCAATAACCCCAGCCGCAATGAGGGGAGTCCTGAGGGAAACACGGGAGAGAAAATAAACATTAGCCATAAGCAATAACAATAAACTACTACGTAATTGGTCCCATTTCACAACCAGAGCTTATCAACTGGTTCTGCTTCATGACTAAGATATTTCAACATCGGATATCATTAAAATGAAACATTGAAATATAAGAATACATCCATTTTATGTATTTATTTATTAAATACAACATGTTTGTAAAAACTCGACAGACTTATATTTACAGTTGAAAACCACTGACACATACTACAGAAGAACAAAAGAGCTGTACAGATCAGTAGAGAAACCCATCAGAGGAGTGAGCTGAGAATTGCCAACATCCTAAAAATAAGAAGCAACATGAACAAAGCCTCACGCTTAGAAAGAAATGAGATATTTGGTTGGATGTGTCTGCGAAAAAACCTTTCCAACTGCAGTTATCTTGCATCAGTCTTCTCTGGGCTATACTTTGAGGTTTCAGTTTGAAAATGTTCCCTTAGCATTAATTGCGACCTAATGCAGTTAGCGTGGAAGACGGCAGCACTAAATCAGGACTGACTGCATACAATACACAGTACATGCTGTCCTATTACAGGTCTTTCATTAAGGTTAACTCTTCAGAATGACAATTTTACCATGTAATTGTCTCTGCACTTTTTTTTTCACCAGTATTTCTTAAAAGCACATGGATATAAAGTAGATTCGCCATTAGGGGGGTATTATCATGGACCAAAGTATAAAGTCTTCTTTTTAGTTTTTCTGTGGAAAAAGATTTAAGTATGTTCCAACTTTGCTGATGGATATCTTTGGAATTTTACATCTCAAAGTTGCCATTTGTTTTTTGTATCTTGTAGAATCAGCATTGCATTTAGAAACCATATTAAGTTTAAAGTAGCTACATTTTATGCATTGAACATCCATGTGTTGTCAGTTGCACAGATGTCAATGGAGGGACAGAAAGCTCTCAGATTTAATCAAAAAGAATTTTATTTGTGTTCCGAAGATGAATCAAGGTTTATTGGGTTTGGAACAACATGAGGTTGAGAAATTAATGACATAGTTTTTTACTCTTGGGTGAACAATCCCTTTAAAGGGATAGTTCACTTTTAAAATTAATTTTTGATATGTTTTAGCTTATCTCAAGAGCATCCAAGCTGTAGGTGTCTTTGTTTCTGCAGTATTTTCAATTTTGATAATTTTAGGTCAAACCGTTCTTGTCTGTCAGTCATATTATGGAGGTCTATGGTCACCACCTCAAAGAGCATGCACAGAGATCTCCAAATTAAACATGATTTAATGACTCGTAAATGTAAGTACACATTGATGGCCTAAGACACGAAACGAGCGGTTTGTGTGAGAAAACGAACAGTATTTATATCGTTTTTACCTCTTGTTACCACAGCCACGTCCAAGTGATCTGAAGACACAGGCGCTTCGGTCTGTGCAAGCGCCAGAAGTGATCTCATGTGCGGTTGCGAAAAAAAAAAAAAAAAAAAAAAAAAAAATCAAAGTTGTCTGTTGATATATCGAAAACGATATATCATAAAACGATATATATAAACGATATATAAAGGGCAACACTTCTGAAATCTCTGTGTAAACAATGAGTGACGTACATACGCGAGAGATCATGCGCTTGCGCAGACCGAAGCGCCCATGCCTTCAGATCACTTGGACGTGGCTGTGGCAAGAGGTAAAAACGATATATATACTGTTCGTTTTCTCACACAAACCGCTCGTTTCGTGTCTTAGGCCATCATTGTGTACTTACATTTATGAGTCATTAAATCATGTTTAATTTGGACTTCTCTGTGCATGCTTTTTTTATACATTAATTTATCGACTTTTCCAAAGCATTAACAGAAAGCATTAACATAAAGCAGATACAATCAAAGTTAAAGCTTTTCCCCCACAATAACCCATTCCGCCAAAATAAATAACAATACATTACATACAAGTCAAGACAACAATATCAATAATAATAACCCCCCAAAAAATAAAAAAAAATAAAAATAAATAAACATACGTAGCCAATAATGAAATTCTGTCATGTTCGTGGTCCGTATATAACTACAAAACAAAACCCCAATTGACAATCACATCTAACATTGATCAATAGGTGAGAGAGTCCTCATCTGACAGACAAGAATGGTTTGACCTAAAAATACTGCGGAAACAAAGAAACCTGCATCCTGGATGCCCTTGAGTTAAACTAAAACATATCAAAAATTAATTTCAAAGTGAACTATCCCTTTAATATATAAAATTAGCTGTAAGCAATTTGTTTGATTGAATAACCAAAAATCTTAGTAATTAATGACAGAATTTTTATTTTCGGGTGAACTATCCATTTAACTACGATGGACTGGCAAAAAAAAAAAAAACCTCTTCACAGAAGGCGTTTGTGTTTGGTCTTCCCTCCTGTGTAAATTTGGAACTGTAAGTTTGTGGGATGAAAATGAATTCCCACTCAGTGAGGTGGGGACAGTAAAGCATCGCCCAGGCATGATGAGTGATAGACTGCTAGATTATCTATGGGCGAGATGAGAATCTCTCCCGTTAATTTGATATTGATCTGCAGTCAGAATACAAAGCTTATGAGCCACGGAGACCATAGTCGAGTGCATACCATCACCCACCGAAGCCTGTGTGAGTGTATAGATCCCACATGCTTCTTTCGCACTGACAATGAGCAGGCAATTATGTTGATGCTGCATTGCTGTCAGCACGCGCCGTGCCGTGCCACTGCCGTATATTGCAGGGGAAGGAGGACAGGATGCCTGACATCTTGTTTTATGTAACCTGTCATGTCTTTTCCAATTGTGCAAGAGAGACTCTTGGAGAGAAACATTAGAATACACATTACAGAGAGGTTCAACAAGGATTTTTGGAGGTATGGCGGTGATTCTGATGCCCTAGGCAAGATAAGGCATGACCCACCCATCCAGCATTACTTATAGTGAAACCATTCTGCGATAGTATTATATACACATATTACATAAATAATCTAATATTGTATTTAACAATATGTAGACTTCCATTACACATTTATAATATATAGATAAATATACAAATGGCATTAAATAGTCACTCATGCTTTTCGTTGTGAAAAATATCCTCTTCACCTGACTCTGCAGGCTGTTGTGAGTGTTGACTATCACCTGCCTCTCATCTTGTTCACACTAGAGATGTTCAACTCTCTCCTGAGCATGTTTGGTCCCCAAGGATAGCAATGTGTTTTATCAGGATTACTTCCTCCAGCCTTTACTCTGATAGTCTGTCCAAACAACACCTGCACTATAATACACCATTAGGACAGGACAAAACTGTGTGTGTGTGTGTGAGTGAGAGCGAGAGAAAAGCGAATACTGTTGATATAAATCCTGGTCCACATTACAGCTCATTGTTCAGTGAAGAACCTCTGAACGACACTTCATATCTCAGTTGATATAAACCTGTGCTCCCTGACTCTGAAATATCCAAAAAGAGCCAATCAGATTGCATCTTGTGAGAAGCTTTTGTTTTCAAAACACATCAAGCAGTCCGCGGTTGTGATGTGTGAGGTCGAGACAAACGATGTTTAGCTTTGGCTTCCTTCCCCTGCCAGGACTGTGTATAGCACTATGGTGGATATGAAACAGCAAACACATTTGCTCTGAGCAGTTAATGGTATTTTGTTCCAGCTTTCCCATGAGAAGAAAAGTAAGTGATATCAATTTATCAAATATGCCATGAAGCAAATGCACACACACATACACACACACAGGCCTCACAGCAGCACATTAATCACAGAACTGTGGCCTGGTCATTATATAACTCTTTCTTTTTTGTTCACCGTGCATTTTTGTGTTAAAGCAGAGCTTTGTCTTGAAAGGCAGCTGGCACTAAAACAATGAGCAGTGTGTGTGTTCATGATGTCATCAACACAGGAATTAGGCCAATCAGATGCAGATGGGTTTGACAAAGCTATTGCACTGTACGCAGCCAGTGAAGGATGAATTTTAATGTACAGTGAGAAACCAGTAGTGAAAATACCTCTATTTTGCAAGCAATGTTCATTTAAAATAACATTTCATTAAAAATGATATTACAGCATAACTATTTGAGTGAAAACTTCATGTGATCAGTCACACATTTGCTTACTTAAATATTAAACAAGATATTCAAATAAAAAAATACTCAATTTGTGAGTATTTTAAAATAAGAGTAATACGTGTTTGAAATAAGTGTTAAAATTACAAATAATATTTCTTCATTCGATACCAGTGCTTTAAATATATATATATATATATATATATATATATATATATATATATATATATATATATATATATATAAAATGTAATTATTTATATTATATTATTTAATATTTAAAAAAAAATGTCAGAGATTTTCAATATAGTCTCAGACATGTGGACCCCACTGCTTGTGCACAGAGGTCTTGTGACTGAATCACCAATATGACATAACTGTGTCTGTAGAACTGTGTGATGTAAAGGATCTCCCGTCACAGTGATTTTCTATAGATGCCAGGCAGTGTGACTCGAATCAACTGTTGGATTTTGGGCAGAAAACCAAAATAGATACCATGAATAAATGATGGTTTAAGGGAGGATGAGAACCTGGTTCCAGGATTCTGACCTTACAAACCTACTGACAGTGGAAGTCACTGGTTTTTGGAGAAAGAGTGTATAACACACAGTAGTGATGCTTGCTAGGACATCATTTATGTTACAGAGATTTAGACTTATAGTACAATGAAACAATTATTTATATATATATATATATATATATATATATGAAGAGTTCAGATGCAAAAGCCTCTAAGTGCCATTTGAAATTTTCTTCTAGAATGATCATTTTTATCAAGCTTGTATATTTAAGTTCAGTGATTTCACTTAAATGGCAATGATAATTACCTATTAATTGTTATTTAAGTGAAATTACTGAACTTTAATAGCTTTGATTTTATAGTAATTTTAGAGTAAAAATATTTTGTAAAATATATATTTTATATAAAATAAAAAAATATATAGTACATTATATTTGATTTACTGTTAATTAAAACTTCCATAACTTTTTCATAATTTCATTTTTTGAAGTGTTTTCACTTCAGCAATAATCTGCTGAGTGTTTTCTTTAAAACAAGACCAAACTTGGGTATATATTCCAAGGCATTCTTGAATTACAACCATTTAAGTGTGAATAGAGCATTTAACCCCCATTCTCAAAAGGGGGTGGGGGGGGTGACAGTTAAGGGGTTAAAATGTAGATACAATCAATTCAGAACGAAATGCACCTTAATGAAAGGCTTTGTGCTTCATGTTTGTGAAAGTTTTAAAGCGGTCTTTCAGTGCCGCTTACAGAGCGGTCAAGTCCTTACTTTTTAATATTACTTATAATATTACTTTTTGTACTTTTGCCACCTAAAAGTATTTTGTGTGTGATGTCCGGATGTGTATATCACACATATTAAATATAAAATGAGTTTGACTGATATTTTCCTAATGTCTGGATAAACAGACATTTCAATATACAGTATTAGTTTTAAATGCCCCTTACAGTGCAATTCGGCTAGATATACATCTGTGCTAAAACATCAAGGTGAAAGTCATCATATAGCTTGCGTATGTAAACCCAGCCAGCTCCCAACCCAACTTTGAGAACAGATTAACGACAATATTTTTTTTAATCGCCTGATAAGAGTCTCACCGATAACGGCCCACCACTAATATATATATATATATATATATATATATGAAGATGCAAAAGCCTCTAAGTGCCATTTGAAATTTTGTTCTAGAATGACCATTTTTATCAAGCTTGTGTATCTAAGTTCAGTAATTTCACTTAAATGACAATTAATAGGTAATCTTCATTGCCATTTAAGTGAAATTCCTGAACTTAAATATACAAGCTTGATAAAAATTATAATTTTAGAAGAAAATTTCAAATGGCACTTAGAGGCTTTTGCATCTGAACTCTTCATATATATATATATATATATATATATACACTTAGGGGACACTTATATATATATATATATATATATATATACACACACACTTAGGGGACACTTTTTTTTAAAGGTGAAAAAGCACAATATATATATTAATATAAATATATTTAAAATAAGTTTACCTGTCCATCATTCCAATGCAGTCTTGCAGACGAGGCCCTGTGCATCTGAAACAATAAATAAAGAATACAAATGAACAAATAACTAAACACACACAATAATATATCTAAATTTGTCTTAATATGTACATAAACAAAATTCAATTTCATACATTTATTAGTACTTTATTAATTTGTACTAAAATATTTGAATAAATAACAAAATGCCATGCAAGGTATTCAATGAAAAAGACAGTTACGTACTTAATTTATGCTACTGAGGTTCAAAGATTCAATCAAAGATCTCATACTTACACGACTAGCAAAGATTGTGAATGAAATCTAATGACTGTCCTGAGTCAACTTAATGGTCAAACGAAAACAGATTAAAATCATCTCAAAACTGCTTCATTTTATACTGTCACTCACAATTCATCAACTCTATTAGCGCTAGACCTATTTTAAAGACACTCTCCTGTCTTTTTCCTGACGTCTAAATTCCTGCCCTTCCACCCTGATGCTCACAGTCCCGCCGTTTTGTCAGCTAACTGCTAATGTCACTCATCGTCCCTGGCTAATCACATCATCCCTGACACAGGAGGAAGAAAAGCGAGATAGTGGTTTTCTACAGGAAATTTGAGCCGTCTCTCACGTAACCCCCAAAGGCCTGAGGCTACGTTGCAGGTGCCCAGCCGGATAAATTCGGAGAGTGTGATGGTTATCATTTAGGGCTAAAGTTAGATGGCAGAGACGCAGCAAGGGCAAACTCCTTCCTCTAAAATTAATGATGCTTTATGCACAGCCAGCTCCGAGGACACAAGAGCTCTAAAAAGGGTCAGTGCGTTGACAAATAGGCTCTCCGAAGTTCCTGAGGCTAGAACTGACGTGGCCAACGAGCACAGGAAGTAGTTGGACCGCTCCAGATACATTCCCCACACACAACAAACATTTAACAAACACGTCCATACCCCTGGGTGCAGTTGACATGACAGGGGTGACACTCATTGTTGGCCTCGGCATATTTGAAGATGAAGCTGTTTGCTCCCTGTAGGCCATCAGGGCATTTCTCCACACAGTTGGGTCCGTCTTTAAAGTGAAGACATTTAACACAGTGATCAGGACCCTGCAAGAGAAAGAAAGAAAGTGGAGGAAAGAGACACATAAAATAGCAGCAACTATGGATAATAACCATCCCTCACCACCAACACAATGACCATAACAATCAGCCGGCGCAGGATTTATGGCCGCAATATGGAGAGAGGAGGCCGGAGAGGGGGAATTGTTAGCTTGGATATCAATATGAGCACCCTTAGAGTCATCCGAACACCTCATCAACCAGAAAGACAAATAACAATTTGCGGACAATAGGAAGAGATGCTCCGTATTGAGGGTGTAAAACGCAAGCTGCGCCTACGTAAGCTTGAGGAACATCTGTGTGCGAGCGTATCTGTCTGTGCTTATATGTGCTTCTTTATGAGTGAATCTCTTGTGAGAGATGAATAAATGCCTTGCAGCAATTACAGCTGCTCTTCATTTCACGCTGTAAACCACCTCTAGATGCAATAAAGCAGCAGACGGCACCCAGACGCGGCCGTGAGAGCCAAGCAGCACGCAACACGCACGGCTTCAGGGCCGTAAACATACAGTTTTCCATCGATATTAAAAGAGGCGCACTACAGTTCAGATTTTTTTTTTTAAAGAAATTACTGTATGAATACTTATATTCTGCAAGGATGTGACATTAAAGGGGTCATGAACTGGCTTTTTAAATTTTATTATATTGTTGTCTGAGGTCAACTTATGACGTTCGCTTGGTTTTTGCATTCAAAAACATCAAAATGGAAAAGTAATAGGCTATTTTCTACCCTAGTTTTGAGCCTAGCTGAAAAACGCTCGGTTTTTATGGGCGTCTCGCACTGAAGACTTTGTGAGTGGAGAACAGTTTTGCATATTATAATGAGTTTCGACTCACCCGTCGATGCACTTGGGGGAAATTGTTTTGAAAACGTCCAGTGTTAACCAGAATAATTCACCCATACATGTTCGAACCAGAGTCCGTGTGTTGCACAATTCCTGTCGGATCCAATACAGACGGCACAGCACCATTCTTTACTCTTAATCGGTCTGCAAATCCAGTCTTGTTTACAAAACAATCCTCAGTGAAATGAAGCGAACAGACGGACAATGTTTTACGCTCATCAGTTGGAACGTCATTAAAAATAAAGTTTATCAATTCAGTCCTATTGGAATCCAGAGGAAGCTTATATAGCGACTGTCTTCTTCCACAACCAGGCGCTGCACAATATTCTGTATTGCTTGGTAGCTCTATCCAGTTTGTCATCACAAGGTAGGCATCTATGTTATTTAGCTATGCGTGAATGCGCGAATCGGTGGGCAGGGCTAAACCGGCCGTGTTGAAGTAGGCGTTGATCTTGTTCTGCGGGGGTGGTGTTTTATCCTCTTTGACGTCATAGTTCCCCACTTTGAAAAACGAGTCGTTTGCTGAGGCTGGTGTCAATCAAAGCTTTTATTGGACTAACAAAGCCGTTTTCAGTTCTGAAACTTACAGGATATTCTTATAATATGATGACCTTAGATGTCAAAAGCTCAATTAGATTTCTCAGTTCATCACCCCTTTTAAGACATTTAGAGAAGACTTCTATTTGATGCTGTTCTAACTCTGACTCTAACTCTCAATTCCACAAAACATCAACTTTGATAATAATAAGAAATGTTTCTTGAGCAACAAATCAGAATATTACAATGATTTCTAAAGTAACAAGAGAGGAGTAACGAGTGCTTCAAATACCGCTTCACCATCACAGAAACATATTTCAAAATATATTAAAATAGAAAATCATGTACACACATTTATGACTTTTTTTCACCTGTGCAAAAGAAGACATTTGGAAGCATGTTTTTGTCCATATAATGAAAGTTAATGGGGTCCTAAATAACACCGGACTCCTTTGACTTTCACTATATAGACATAAAAAAAAAAGACACTTCACAAAATACTGTCTCTTCGTTTGGGTTCCACAGAAGAAAAAGTCGTCCTGGTTTGGAACAACATACGAATGATGGTGATAGAAGTTTAATTTAGGGGTCAACTATCCCTATCATTTCTCATCTACCCTCTACTATTGCTATTAAGTAGCAAAAGGCTCAAAACTAAATAAACAAATGAACACTCAACCATAACTACATGACAAGCATGCTGCTCTATTCAGCATTGCATTATTAAGTTAATATATTAATATGAATTAATTTTACCTTCAAGTCTTATCAAAATGATCATGGCTATGAGAATGGTGTGCATGAATGTCACCAGAATGTCATAATTACCAGTGGGGGAACTCTAGATAATCATTGAGTTTGGGGGCAAGTTAATTAAAGAATCCCGGCAGAAGTAAATTATTGTTTCTGATTATGTTTTAATTGCGAATGTTGACTGTACAATTTAGTTTGCATGCATTGTAGGCTACTATAAAGCTGACCAAATGCCTCCTCATTTGGTTTCCTCGTCATTTTTTTATATAGCTCTGAAAAAGCTTACTGTCTTCATTGGTAAGTCAAAAAGAGAGAAAGAAATATGACGGCCCAGCGAGTCAGTGTTATTCCTGCATTGGGCCGTGCGTAGCATAGCATAGAGATAAAGGTGTCTGAAAACTCCTCCAAGGCTAGGTTACCTAGAAAGCATCGTCACGTTTTCTGTTAATTGTGCTGCTCCTCCGGACACCTGCTGCACACAAATCTCCATTCCTCTCCACACACACAACATTGTTTGTTAGTGTTGTTTAATTATGCCTTTGTGAAGCAGATGTTGCTGATTGCTTCACAGGTAGGTTAGACCACTCAGCAGTTAATCTGCACTAATAACAACAATCATTTTAACAGTTTAGCTAAGTCGTGCATCACCTCAGAGGCTTATGGGTGTGTACAGTCCTTATTGGAGAAAGTCAGTTGGATACCTAGATGATCGCTTTATTGTGTCTCTGATTTGCATATGGTCTCCAATTGGCTAGTTTACACTCTAAAAAATGCTGGGTTGTTTCAACCCAAATTTTGGTCAACTATGGCCAAACCCAAATGTTGAGTTAAACATGTAATTTAAAAAAATACAGTTGAAAGTGAAAGTTTTAAAATTTTAAATTACATTTTTTTAATCCTACATTTGGGTTTGTCCATATCTGACCCAAATTTGGGTTGAAACAACCCAGCATTTTTAAGAATGTAGGAATGTGAAGATTTTTGTCTGGATTTTGCTATACAATTATTGTTTAATTCTCAAAAGTAATTATCGTAATATTCCCATTACTGTAATGAAGGTTTTTTTTTTTTTTTTTTTTTTACATGACTTTTATTTAAAAATAAATAATTATTAATATATCATTTTTTTTAGTAGTTCACTTTTCAAAAAAAACTTTTGCTGATAATTTACTCACCCCAATGTCATCCAAGATGTCCATGTCTTTCTTTCTTCATTCGAAAAGAAATTAAGGTGTCACAGTCTGTCGTCTTCACCTGTTTGTCCCGTCATCTGCACTACACTTCCCCGGATCCTTTTGTTCCTCTCCCGGACTCACTCCCCAATCAGCCACCTGTTCCTCGTTCTGTCATTATCATTTTCACCTGTGTTCACCCCAATTAGCCTTATTCCTCTGTGTATTTAGTTCAGTTCAGTTTGATTCAGTGTTGTCGGTCAATGTTGAATGTTACCCGGTGTACCCCGTCTTCCTGCCTGTATTTTTGAATTAAAAGCATCTTCATTGTGACTCTGGGGTCCTCCAGTTCCTTCTGCCTGCCCCACACCCGTGACATAAGGTTTTTGATGAAAACATTCCAGGATTTTTCTCCATATGCATATAATTGACTTCAGTGGGAACCAAACGGTTCAAGGTCCAAAAGACAGTTGCAGTGCAAACTGTTCAAAGGGCTTTAAATGATTCCAGACGAAGGGTCTAATCAAGCGAAATGATTGCTCATTTAAAATAATAATAATAATAAAAAAAATAACAAAGTTTAAGTTTTATAAGCTCAAATGTTTGCCTTGATCTGTTCTGTGACGCATGTTCGTGACTCTCCTGTTCGAACTCATTGATCAAAATAAGCAAATCTTTTTCCGAGAATTTGTTCGTTTCGTTCTTTGAATGAACCAAATGACAAGGTGAGCATTTGAGCTTATAAAACTTAAACTTTGTTATTTATTTATTAAATGAGCGATCGTTTCACTTGATAAGACCCTTATTCATCGTCTGAAATCATTTAAAGCCCTTTGAACAGTTTGCAGTTTGTACTGAAAGTGTCTTTTGGTCCTTGAACCGTTTGGTTCCCAGTAAAGTGCATTATATGGAGAAAAAAACTGGAATGTTTTCATCAAAAACCTTAATTTCTTTTCGACTGAAGAAAGAATGACATGGACATCTTGGATGACATGGGAGTGAGTAAATTATCAGCAAAAGTTTTTTTTCAAAAGTGAACTACTCCTTTAAATTAAATATGACACAAGGTTTAACAAGGAGATTTTGTCAATAATTTTACACTGCAAAATGCCTTCATTTTTTAAATAACAATTACTAACATAAACACATACTCACATCGACATGGCACATTGACTAAACTGAACAGATAAACAGGCTTTGATCAGGCAAAAACCACTTGAAAGAGGAATATTTAACTTTCCAGGGACAGGTTAAAAAAAGAAAAGAAAAAAGTCAGGACACGCACTCAGTTTTAGAGTTTTTGTCTCTCTGTCTGTGTTTGTGCTGGAACGGGTCTCGGAGGGCTCATGATCGCGTCATTTGCGAGACCTTTCTGTTTGACTCAAGCAGACAACAGCCCGAGGCCTCTGAGCTTTAGAGACGGATCGGCTAAATCCTCTTTCGCCAACAACACACAAGCACACTGCCGTACGCATCTTGTCATGTAGTCATCAATTTAAACCCAAGTGCTTGAGGCTGTTTTGAAAAAGGGGCAGCGCTGAACACACAGCCCATCTGTGGTAATGTCTCTAACCTGATCAGATTCATGGACAACCAGCTTATTCATCCCACTCTCAGGAGTTTTCTATGGGGCAGGACTCTCTGTAAATACTTGCCAAGCTTAGGAAACTTAATCTACTCTCTCACTAAATTAACAAGAAGTAAAATCAATCCCACGGCAGCAAAAGTACACTTCGACAAGGGATTCAATTAATCATTTGACCAAGCCAATCGAAGGCGGTGTCTGCTGTTCAGCTCTGTTTGTGCTTTAAGCTAATATATATTGAAAGAGATTGCATTGAAATTAAAGAAACATGCACACAGAATCCAAAATTAACAATCACCAAGCACCGAATACAAGAAAAAGCATCTTTGGTGAATGACACACACACACACACACACACACACACACACACACACACACACACACACACTGTATATATATCCAATGATTAATCGCGATTAATCGCATCCAAAATAAAAGTGTTTACATAATATACTGTATGTGGGTGCACTGTGTATAATTATTTTGGCTATATAAATACACACACATGCACGTATATTTAAGAAAAAAATATTATGTATATATAGAATATTAATATTTATAAATGATTAATCATTGTATATATATATATATATATATATATATATATGAAAGAATCAAATATCACTTTTCTTTTCTGTAAAAACAGAAATATAAAATTAAAATTGTCCTGAATATGATGCTGTGACTGACAAAAACAGCCTCTTTGCATTAAATATTGAAGATTCTGCCTTAAATATTGAGGAATATTAGAATCACAAATACAGATTTTGCGTTTTTTTTATTTTATAATGCAAATAAAATTGCCAGTAAAATATAATGATGGTCGGTAATTTATCTAATTAAATTCACTTGAGATGCTTGAGGTGACAGTTCTATATACTCTGCAAAGAGCAAAGGAGGATTCAGGGGATCGGCCAATCAGAAACACTCATTGCCTGTCAATAACTATGACATATGCATTTGAAGGGTGGGGTTTATGCGAGAGACTGGTCTAAATCAGTGGCAAAGAAAAACTTAACACAAATATGAAAATAAAAAATATGAAAAAGTACTTTAAAATACTTTAGGGGTTTGGGGTTGGTAAGATTTTTTAAAGGGGTGGTTGATTATGATTTCACGTTTCTAACTTTAGTTAGTGTGTAATGTTGCTGTTTGAGCATAAACAACATCTGCAAAGTTACAATGCTCAAAGTTCAAAGCAAAGTAAGATATTTTCTTTTAACAAAATAACTTTTTAAGGACCACAACAAACGGCTGGTAGGGACTACACAACATTCCTCCCAGCTATTATACGTTTTTACTATTACAGCTATCGAGATTAACAAATCGTGAGAAGTTTTTAAAGTATTTAGATCTATCCCCATCACATAAAATGTTGCCGTGATGAGCATTGAGCAAGCAGAAGACAGTTTGTTGATCGCGAGAATGAAAATCTCATCATTGCAACACAGTTTCTGCACTCTCTCTAATGCTTTCACCAATGCAGACACGATGATGTAAATACAGTAAGACAGTCGTTGTACAGTGTTACGTGTCTCATTGATTTCATAAAGAGTTGTCCAGATTGGTCTTTGATATATTTGTATATAATTTGTTCATAATTCAAATAAGATTATTTTCATCCTACTAAAAGAATCGATGTGAAGTTGATATTTTAGTCACTGACTTGACTTATGCATAAACCGTATTGGATTATTTTGAGAGAAAGATTACCTGTCTGAACTTAAACAGTTAGGCTACACATCAGAAATTGTTGCTTGGTAGCTCGATCGATTTATTTTCAAATGTTCATCTAGGCCAGTTCTGTATTGGCCCAAGTTGAGGAAACAGTCGTCGGTGAAATGTTTGGACCATACAAAACTTTGGGTAGTTGTGTCAGAGGTTGTCCTTCAGAGGCTCGGATGAAGGAACTAAAAAACACTTTCGTGTTCATTCGTACATCCGAACACTGATCAACTGCCATGCTTCGCTGGTTTGCAAGCCATGATATCTCTCGAGGAAAAACTTAAATCACGTTCATACTTCCTAGCTCATTTTGTCATGAGCGAGCCAAATTCTCTGTGCGGGCAAAGAGAGGAGGTAACCTTTCCCCCATACGGAAAAGATTCAAGATCAGCCTGTCTGAGCTTTCATTTTCTCAAAGGTAGAGAAAGATAGCCAAAGCTCGGTTTAGCCACTGGGGGACCATATACAGGCTAGGAACACTCATATTAATGAAAAAAAAATAAAATAAAAAAAAATCAGAAAGTAAAAATATCATGTCAGGGGACCTTTATCATGCTATATAAAAATATCTGTGTGGTATTTTGAGCTAAAACTTCACATACACACTCTGGAGACATCAGAGACTTATTTTACATCTTATGAAAAGGTGCATTATATCACCCCTTCATATATTTTGTAAAGAAGCCTCTCATGTTCACAAAGGCAGCTCTTATTTGATGAAAAATACAGTAAAAACAGTTTTATTTTGTGAAATATTATTAATGTCATTTAAATGAGCGATTTCTATGTATGTTTACAATGCAATGCATTCCTGTGACACAAAGCTCTTTAGTATCACATGATCCTTCAAAAAATATTTCAAATATGCTGATTTGATGCTCAAGAAACATTTCTCATTATTACCAATGTTGAAAACAGTTTTGCAGCTTAACATCGTTGTAGAAACTGATTTTTTTTTTTTTTCAGGATTTTTTGATGAATAGAAGAACCAAGGACAGCATTTATTCGAAATCTTTTGTAACATTACAAAAGGCTTCAGTGTCACTTTTGATCAATTTAATGTGTCCTTGCTGAATAAAAGTATTAATTAAAAAAAATGTATTTCTTTTATATATTTTTTTTATAATCAGAGAATGTCTAAAACACCATGTCAATTACGTTGACGTTGTTGTTTTTAAAGGCTGATATTATTGGTGTAGCTGGAGATAAATATGACTGAACTCACAGGCCCAGTGCAGGTAAGACCGTCATCTTCTGCCACTTCACACTGCGCGTCACACTCCAGGCACACCGAACCATTTGCAAACTCACGCACATCCCTATAAAAGAGAAAGAGGAAAAATATAAGGTAATATAACACACTACAATTACATTTAATGACCGTTCAAGAGCATTCAACTTTCAGATGGGAGTAATAGTCAATCATCAAAGTTCTTCAAGGAATTCCTGCTCAAGGTCAAGGATTTAGATGCTTCAATCACTAGCCTTTTAAAGTCAAGACAACTCTCCAATTTCAGGCTAGATATTAAGTCTTTATGTACACTTCAGATTCCAAGATCTGAATAAGGAAATGCTGAATCACAGGCAGTAAACGAAGAGCCATCACACATACACACGGGTAGATTGTGAAAGAGCGGCCGAAGGGAATTCAGTGCCTGAGGCACAAGGCCGTAGGGAGGCAACAGTGGAATCCAACACATCCGCCAGGTGTTTACAGCACTTCTCAGAGAGCTGCCACAGCTGGCAAACACAGTTACTATTGACCAAAAGTAAACAGTCAGCCTTCACCACCTATCGAGGTGACAATTCATCAAGCACATTCAGGGACACCTCAAAGCACCACATGGAGGAAATCAGCCAGGGACCTCTGAAACAAATGATCACAAAATGGTTCAATACAGGCGAACGCAGTCGCCGCCCGGTTCCATCACTACTCTGAAGAGGGTAGTGACATTTTAGAAGCTGACATCCGTTACCGTGACATGTGGAGGATGGCAGCTTAGTGAGAGAGAAAATTTTGATTGACGTGCTATGTCAATGAGTGTTAAAATAAACGAGAATGAATTATTCTTTATCTAAAAGGCACAGGACATTTTGTGTAGACTGTGAGGAAGCTTTTAGAAGACCCTCTTATCATTAGAGGACTTCTTTTTCTCCCTTTATGTGAACGTTATACTTCACAGGCTCGGTGTCCACACATGTTTCCTGGTTCACTCTGTGTTCTCTTTGTTCACAACTGTGTTTGCTATAGGACACACATTGACATTGGGCATCAAGTGGAGACCAAAGACAGAAACAAAATGGTTTATCATTCACAAGTAAAGAAATAAGTACTTAAATGAATGCTACACTCTCAGAAAAAAAAGATACAAAAGTTGTCACTGGGGCTGTACCTTTTCAAAAGGTACACTTTTGTACCCAAAGGATGCATATTGGTACCTTAGTGGTACATTTTAGCACCTAAAATGTACATATTAGCTCCTGAAATGTATATATTAACACTTAAAATGTACATATAAGGACCTAAAATGGACATATTAGCACCTAAAATGTACATAGGACATGGACATAATTTAGCACCTAAAATGAACATATTAGGACCTAAAATGTACATATTAGCTCCTGAAATGTACATATTAACACCTAAAATGTACTTATTAGCACCTAAAATGGACATATGAACACCTAAAATATACTTATTAGCACCTAAAATGGACAATTAAAACCTAAAATGTACTTAATAGCACCTAAAAATGTACATATTAACACCTAAAGTGTACATATTAGCACCTAAAATGTACATATTAACACCTAAAATTGTACATATTAGCACCTAAAATAGACAAAAGTTTACCTTTTGAAAAGGTACAGCCCCAGTGACCTTTTTTTCTTAGAGTGTACTAGAAAAATGCAAAACATGTTTGTTTCTGTATCTCCATTTCATGTCTAATGTGAAATATGACTTGGCTGAATTTTGCAGATTCATAAATAACTGCAGGTGTGTGATTTACAGGCATTTTTACACAAGTCTCTTATGCTCACCAATGCTGCATTTATTTAATCAAAAATACAGTAAAACAATAATATTATTTTGAAATTTTAATATAATTTAAATCTGTTTTCTATTTTAATATATTTTATAAGGTATAATTGATCCTCTGATGTAAAGCTGACTTTTCAGCCGTCATTACTCCACTCTTTAGTGTCACATTATATTAAATAAATATTCTCATTTGAAGCTCAAGAAACATTTCTTATGGTTATGGGCTGTTTTAACCCAACTTTGGGTAAAATATGGACAAACCCAGCCATTGGGTTACATTTTTAAATTACATTTTTTAACCCAATGGCTGGGTTTGTCCATATTTTACCCCAAATTGAGTTAAAACAGCCTAGCATTTTTTAGAGTGTATCGTCAATGTTGAAAACAGTTGATAATTTGTTTTCAGGATTCTTTTGATTAATAGAAATTTCAAAAGAACGGCATGTGAAATATAATTTTGTAACATTATAAAAGCCTTCACTGTCATATTTGATCAATTAAATGTATCATCGGTGAAGAGAAGTATTCATTTCTTTCAATAAATAAATAAATGACATTTCCTCTCTCCCTAATAGTGTCAGACACTGAAAATTGAACCAGAAAGCCTTTTGGACTGTCTTCTGATATCTGTATTTATCACTAGCCACCTGTTAAACAATCATCTGAAATGAATGTCAATACCAGCCGTAAAAAAGCACAAAACGTTCTGCTTGCTTCCAGCAAACCAAACAACAAAAACGGTCCTAATCATCTTCAAAATCTTTAATTTAGAGCTCACAGTGGGTATTTTCATTTTTTTAGCTGTCTGTTCCCTAATACTGAGTGAATCATCTTGTGTGAACAACGATTGAGACCGCAGAGGTCGACAACCAGAGGAGAGACAGAGAAAACATTGAGATCACCTTGCAAATCAAAGCACACACACGCACACACAAACAGCAAAGATAGCGGAGCACTGGGTGACTCGTGTGGGACGGGTGAGTAGGTGGACGTGACAGTGCGAGACAGTGATGCATCCGTGTCCGTGCCGTACCTCTCCAAACCTGCCTCCCGTTTCTCGACCACATAGGGCCTGGTGAGCAGCTTGGGCCTAGAGCCGGCCAGTCTGCAAGGCAAAAGAATCATGTGGGACGATCGCAGGGTGCACGAGCCCTGGTGTTGATTCACTTATCAATGCAAAACCAACATGGATGTGGCATTCACATAAAATACAGTGCACCCATCCATGATAGTCCTAGTACTAAACACTCAAAGGACGACGGGCCGTCTCAAAATGGCAAATGACTGTCGTTTTAGGATGTGAAAATGGATGTTGTTTGTTTATTGCCTTGTTTTACCTCTGGGCAAGGGAGAAATTAAATTGAGCTGCTTCACTCAGTCAAATCAATCAAAAGCTGATATTCATCTTTCCCTTTGAGCAGTTCGTAAGCACACAACAAATAAAGAGGGGACTCAAAACCAATCAGTAATTTACTCTGTTCACTGCACTGATTAACACCTTTATTGTACTTATTCCAGATGTGTAAACCAAGAGAAGGAGCTTAAAGGGATACTTCAGGATTTAGCATTAGCTTTGTAATAGTAGAAAACCTGTAGCATTTTCGAAATACCATGCTTTCCAGCCTCATATCCCCCTGAGGCGAGAGATTTGTGCATTTTTTGTCAATCCTTAGATGATGCAAAATTATGATTTTTGCATCATCTGAGGATTTTTTAGACAAAAAATACATCAATTTTGTAGGCTAAAGACTACAGTCAGTAGTAGAGGCTGTTGCGACCCGCCCATAGAGGGGATCTCACTCAAATAGTGTCAGCCATCTTGTTTGGAAGCTAAGCTAGCAGGTTCTTGTTCTGTGGAGAAAGCTGAGTGGTAGTTGTTACCATCCTCAATGTCCGGAATCCAGATTTTGCTTTCTGCAGTCGCCATTCATTGTTTACATGCACAGCTTTTGTTTCAATCTAACTTAATTCATTCTGATTGGTGAATCTGAATGTAGTGTTTACATGAATGCTAAACAAGTGATCGGTTGATGTGCGTTTTAACATTGCTAAGAAAATTCCCGCTCCTCCGTGAGAGATACGAGACCGGTGCGTCTCACAGGTGCCGCTCATCGGTAATCACGCCACCGGCCCCGCATCGTTCTCTACACGGCCCTCACTCGTCCTGCTCGCCACAGTTAACATAATGAATGGCAACTGTAGAACGCAAAAGCCGAATCCCGGACATTTTGGGCGATCTCGAAACACATTTACGGGCAGACACATCATGGAGACTCACTAATAGCCTAGACTTGTTGTTTAACTACTGCGCTCTGTTAACGGTAGGCGTGGCCTCCTAGGGCAGGGAACCAAGTGCATTCTGGGAGTTGCTGTCTTTCATCCACATAAGCCAAAACATTTTTTTTTTTCTGGATTTCTCAGTCTAGACAGCTCCAAATTCAAAAATAACTTCACATTACTTCTACATAAATGACCCATTTTAAATACCCATTCATCTTTCCAGAGGTGAAGTCAAAACTATTTTTTTTGTGGAATCAGACAGACACTCACTATCAAATGATTTTTGTGCTGGTTTGGTATTGGAAAGGCGGTTTACCAAGGAAGCCTGGCTGGTTAAGTTAGTTAAGCAACATAACGAGAACATCATCCATAACACAACAAAGGACTTTCTAATGCCATGGCAAACAAAATTATTCATTTTTCAGTTGTTTAGGAGTTTATGATGAGATAAAGACACAGGGTACCACGAAATAACACAAATCAAATGAATAAAATGTCACTCTTTATTTCGACAGTTCACTTTAGACATTCTACTAACTATAAGTAACTTAATTTGCAACTACATGTCAACTAACTCTCATTAGATATTAGTAGACTGTAAGGTTAGGATTAGAATAAGTTGAAATGTAGTTGCAAAGTTACTTATAGTCAGTGGAGGACCATCAAAATCAAGTGTTATCAAATATTAAGTAGATACTAAGAGTCTACTAATACTTTAATGACTAGTAGTTGACATGTAGTTGCAAAGTTACTTATAGTTAGCAGAGTGTCTTTCAACTATCCAATTAAAGACTTAGCAATTGTCTACCTATTACTGGCTGCACAAGAAACAAGACAGGACAAGAAAATACACAGATTTACTACACACAATATGTTTTTCTGGAGTGTTCTGGCACACATTACAATTTCATATGCCCTACATATCCACCCACTCTACTTCAATGTGAGACTAGCCAAACACAGTATATGTACAGTATTTGTGTTTTTATTAAATCGATTTATTATTATTATTATTTGTTAAATGAAGACCATTTGTCTTGGAAAATATTTTATAACACCTTAATTTATTTTTCCTACTTTTAAAATGCTTTTAAAAGGGTAGTGCATCCAAATTTGTTTGTTCTAGCCATTCATGTCCTTCCAGACTCATTACTTTTCTTCACAAAAGTTTATATTTTTGTGTGTGTGTGCCCATACAAAGAAAGTCAAAAACAAAACTGAAAATAGTGTAACTAATTAGTAAAAGATTAATCACTAAGATATTTTTTTTCCAAAAAAAAAAACCAAAAAAAACAAAAAACATTTTAAGTTTTTCAAGAAGTCTATTCTTTATTTTTTGGATGAACTATCCCTTTAAAGTTGACATTTTATTATTTTAACCTTGTCACATATCCACACTATAAAACATACAGTAGACTAGTCATATATTACTAAATTGTTAAATCTTTTATTAATATCATTAAACCATCAATTAATTAAAAAAAAATGATCTTATAACATTTTTATTGCATGGAAAGGATAAACTAGTGAGTTTGAAAAGTGTGTTTCAAGAGAGTTTCTTTTCTTCAAGTACACAGGGTCAAAAGTGCCCATGGAAACACTTATATGTGTCTGTGTGTCTGTTTATCTACCTTAAATCTTTGTGCCTGTGTGAAAACAAAACCTAGGCTTTACTTAGTTCTTTATTCTGTCATGGTGCTCCACACACTGCCGTATTTGATGTAGACGTCATATGAGGTAGAGCTCACCCAAACACTGTTATTTATTTTCCAGCTCAACCAAGCTTACATTTCATCATTGCAACCTGCTCTCCAAAGCCAGGGGACATGCTGCTCTGCTGTTTTATTATTGTTTGTCTAGAGGATGTAGACATGAATCTTTGTGAAAATCCCTGTAGAACAAATAGCTATTGTTCAACCTTAGGAAGACACATCTTCTACAAGCTAACATTAATAAACTGTGCCACAAAGTGTATGCAAATAATCCAACAACAAAGCTTGAGCAAACCTATGATTCTTGAGATTTGTAGATTCATGTAGTAAAACAAGTCCTCTGCAAATATAGTTTTGTGGAGTTTTATATACATATCTATATTACATGTTAATATTTATCAGTGGCATTGAGAGTGGCGTTTAATAACTTACCCTTCGTGCAGATTGCAGGATTCAACACAGGTGCGTGCCCTGCTAAAGAACCGACAGGACAGGCACTGGTCGGGCCCTGGACCCCAGCATCCAGCATCAGAGCACAGCGGGTCACATACCATACGATCCAAAACTGCAAAAGATATGTTAATCGTTAACACAAGAGCACTCCTGCCAGTAAAGAACTTACTTCCCCATTGTTTCCTATCATCTTTCATCTGTCCTACCACTGAAAGTCTTATTTAAATAAATGATAATAAAACATGTATTATATTATTTTATTACACGGCTCTGTGGAATACTTTATTATAATTGGTCAATCGCGCCATCCAGCAGATAACAACCCTGATAACAACTGGTAAAAACAGATAACACAGGCTCATCCGGGTAATTGAAGTCAGAACTAAAATGTGCCACTAAAGACTGGCTGCTAAAAACTTTGACATTATAAGAATAAATTAGATTTTTAAATCTAAAGAACCAACAGGACAGTTATTTTTTTAAAAAAAAAAAAAGTTATTTTAAATTGTAATAATAATAAAATATTACTTTTGTTTTTACTGTATTTTGGATTAAATAAATGCATATATATATATATATATATATATATATATATATATATATATATATATATATGTATGGCAATAGACAACGCATTCTCATCCTAGGGTGTCATCTAACTGACACTTTTGACGCACATGGCAACATTTAGTGTCAGTTAGATGATGCAGATAGGGTTAGGGTTAGACCACTAGGAGGCGCGTCTCATATTGACGCTAAAGGGTGCCATGTGCGTCAGATGTTGACGAATGATCAGTTAGAAGCGTCAGTTACAGTAGATGACGCCTTGGGATGAGAACGGGCTGCAATAGATGATACACAGATATATTTTTAGAATAAAAATGCTGAATTTTACATTTGCCAAAATTATAATGTAGTGCTAATTGTGCAAGTGACTTCTCTAATTGACGTTTTCTAATAAAATGTCACCTGTTTCCAGAGGTTACAATGAAAAACTAATTTCTGTCCATATCGGCATGTCAATCTATTGCACATTCTCCAAATGATGCTGTCAATCCACCCCAAGGAAACGTTCAGTTGATAGATGGAAGAGATCCTTTGTCAAACCCTGACTGAACACAATGCACACACCATCTGTGAAAAGTGTTACTCGTCCGATCATGGATGCATTAGGCTTGTACGAAGCTGGCTGTATATGAACTGCCGCATTTCAATTTGAAATGAGGACAGAATGGTCCGGGCGCCCACCCACCGAGGCACTGGATTTTGCAGCAGCTGGGAGAGTGTTTTAAAATACTGCTGACACCACTTCAGCAAGTCTCACAGACGTCCTCCTCAACAGACAAACTTCTGAAACTAATGATGAGAATAATATCACTGAAGTGTTACAGTATATCGGGGTCAAAAGATTTGAAACCACAGTTAAAATATGGATGTTAACTAATGTGTATTAAAGGGGTGATGAACTGAGAAATCAAATTTTCCTTGAGCTTTTGACATTTAAGAGGTCATCATATTATAAGAATATCCTGTAAGTTTCAGAACTGAAAACGTCCTTGTTAGTCCAATAAAAGCTTTTATTGACACCAGCCTCTAAAAACGACTCGTTTTTCAAAGTGGGGAACTATGACGTCAAAGAGGATAAAACACCACCCCCGCAGAGGAAGATCAACTCCTACTTTAACACGGTCGGTTTAGCCCCGCCCACCGATTCTCGCATTACACACATAGCTACAGGGGCGTAGTGGGACCCAAAAATCTACCGGGAAATTTCGTAGACCACCGTCCGTCTGTTCGCTTCATTTCACTGAGGATTGTTTTGTAAACAAGACTGGATTTGCAGACCGATTAAGAGTAAAGAACGGTGCTGTGCCGTCTACATTGGATCTCAGGAATTGTGCAACACACAGACTCTGGGTCCAACATGTATGGGAGAATCATTCCGGTTGCCATTTTACAACATTGGACGTTTTCAAAACAATTTCCATTATAATATGCAACTGTTATCCACTCACGAAGTCTTCAGTGCGAGACGCCCATAAAAACCGAGCGTTTTTCAGCTAGACTCAAAACTAGGGTACAAAATAGCCTATTACTTATTCATTTTGATGTTTTTGAATGCGAAAACCAAGCGAATGTCATAAGTGGACCTCAGACAACAATATAATAACATTTAAAAAGCCAGTTCATGACCCCTTTAAAAATGAGCAAACATATCATATTTATTACATAATATATTATGTAAGAGTTTTTCTTTTTTCTTCTAATTTTCAATTTGAAAATAATGCAAACCTCCAAAATGTATATACTATATGTTCAAGTTCAGGTTCTAGTTCAAGGACCAACTTGATGCTTAACGCAGGTATCCAACAGCACGAGGAACGGCAGAGAGAAGCCTTTTCAGCTCTACATTTGTGGCAGATGGATCAAAAAGATGCCAACTTCAAAGTTTTAACCTGGTTGAAAACACTCAATTTGGGTTGAGTTGACGTCAAAAGCAGTGCTAGGTTGGTTTCCAGGGAGATGTGTAAGAGCCAGGGGGATCGCGAAGCCCAACAAAAGGCTACGGTTGCCGCGAGACATTAATGATTGCTGTTGCATCACAACATCCTGTGCAATGGAAAAGAAGGGCAAAAACAGCTTTTTAGCTGTTTTTCATAAACATCACTCAGCAGCAAGAAAAGAGAGAATTCTTAAAGACAGAGGTGAAAGTAAATTCCCTTTGGTGATTACAGCTTCTCCTAGAAAGAAAATAAATAAATAATCTGAAATGTCATAAATTGTTGCAGGGTCTTCCCTGCAATTAATTCCCTGTGATTGTTCATGAAGCAACCTAACATTTGCAGAGAATGGATAATTCTAAAAAAAAAAAAAAAAACAGAGGCATTTGGGGTCTTTTCTCACAGTAACATCTTCAAGTCTTCCACACACACACACACACACACACACACACAAAAAAAAACAACAACCTCAAAGAACTCTATGTTGGATCTAAGGGTGATTTTAAAGGGTAAAAAGGGAGCACATAGTAGGGGGTTTGCATCAGTACTCGTATTTCACAGCAGAGTGAGACTCTGATCGTCTGACATCTCCTGACCCCCTCCATCTGCGGAGGAACCCGGGTCCTCATGGCCCCTGCTAGGCTCGGTGAGGTGCAGTGACCCGGCCAGAACGACAGGTATGAGGGAGCCGCACCAGCACCTTCCAAAGTGACCGAGTTTACTGCCTCAAAGTCAGCGAGCTCAGCGTGAGGCGTCGTGATCTCTGGCTGTGGTTCGGGTGAACCAGAACAACCAGCAGTTGGAAGCCTGAGAACCATCCTAGCCTCAAGATTTTTGCTGCTGATTGTTGGGTAGATGTTGTGAAGAACTGTTTATGATGTCTAAAATCTGGCAATTCTAGGATATGACTAATTTATCCTAAAAATGAATGAAAAAAACAGATGGACTCACTGCACTCCTTGGGGTCACGGTTGTTGCGGATCAGGGACTTCTGGGCGTTAGTGCGGAAGAGTCGTGTCCAGTTGACGGTGTTGTAATAGCAGAGTTGACTGTTGTTGGTGACGTACACGTTTCCAGCACTGATCTCATTAAGTGACTGCAGCTGAAGTGATGAAATCCACTGCTGCTTCAGCACCAGAAGAGAGATGCCACTAAACACATGAGAAAGCACAAGGGGACAAAAGGTTACTGTTAACACTTTATCTATCTATCTATCTATCTATCTATCTATCTATCTATCTATCTATCTATCTATCTATCTATCTATCTATCTATCTATCTATCTATCTATCTATCTATCTATCTATCTATCTATCTATCTATCTATCTACTCAACTAAAGGATTATTAGGAACACCATACTAATACTGTGTTTGACCTCCTTTCACTTTCAGAACTGATATGGCATTGATTCAACAAGGTGCTGAAAGCATCCTTTAGAAATGTTGGCCCATATTGATAGGATAGCATCTTGCAGTTGATGGAGATTTATGGGATGCACATCCAGGGCACGAAGCTCCCGTTCCACCACATCCCAAAGATGCTCTATTGGGTTGAGATCTGGTGACTGTGGGGGTCATTTTAGTACCGTGAACTCATTGTCATGTTCAAGAAACCAATTTGAAGTGATTTGAGCTTTGTGACATGGTGCATTATCGTGCTGGAAGTAACCATCAGAGGATGGGTACATGGTGGCCATAAAGGGATGAACATGGTTGTAGCATTTAAACGATGCCCAATTGGCACTAAGGGGCCTAAAGTGTGACAAGAAAACATCCCCTACACCATTACACCACCACCACCAGCCTGCACAGTGGTAACAAGGCATGATGGATCCATGTTCGCATTCAGTTACGGCAAATTACACCTGACCACCTCACATCTACCATCTGAATGTCTCAACAGAAATCGAGGCAACATTTTTCCGGTCTTCAACTGTCCAATTTTAGTGAGCTCTTGAAAATTGTAGCCTTTTGTTTTCCTATTTGTATTGGAGATGAGTGGTACCCAGTGGGGTCTTCTGCTGTTGTAGCCCATCCGCCTCAAGGTTGTGCTAGTTGTGGCTTCACAAATGCTTTGCTGCATACCTCGGTTGTCAAAGTTGCTCTTCCATCAGCTTGAATCAGTCGGCCCATTCTCCTCTGACCTGTAGCATCAACGAGGCATTTTTGCCCCCAGAACTGCCGCATACTGGATGTTTTTCCCTGCTCACACCATTCTTTGTAAACCCTAGAAATGGTTGTGCGTGAAAATCCGAGTAACTGAGCAGATTGTGAAATACTCAGACCGGCCCGTCTGGCACCAACAACCATGCCACGCTCAAAATTCCTTAAATCACCTTTCTTTCCCATTCTGACATTCAGTTTGGAGTTCAAGAGATTGTCTTGACCAGGACCACACCCCTAAATGCATTTAAGCAACTGTAATGTGATTGGTTGATTGGATAATTGAATTAATGAGAAATTGAACAGGTGTTCCTAATAATCCTTTAGGTGAGTATATATTAATAAAATTCATTTTCACTGTTCTGAATGAACACATTAAATTGACAGCAACAATTTTAAACAATCAAAAACAACTAAGACGACCAGACTTCCTTTAGCCTGGAGAGTCTTGATCAGATCAGAATGAGTAAGAATGAAACAAAAGAATGAGATCTGACACAAAAAAAAGCTGAAATGACGGCTTCATGAACAAAGGGCACGAGTGATTTGTCAGTGTGAGAGATGCTTTTGCCTTTCTAAAGCAAGTGTTTAGCTTGCGTCCCCCCCTAGCATCGCAGAGGATCTCCCACTTCACATGAGATGAGATGGGTTAATGCTGAGACGTAATCACAACAGTGTTTTTAATCACGGGCAGGCGTGCTGGAGAGCACATCAAAGGGCCTTTGAGAGTCAGAACGTGCAGGTGCACTTAGACACTGACATCGCTCTCATCTCGCCGAGACATCTCCTCTGTTATTCCTCTTTCTCTCTACTTTTTCCTCTCTGTGTTTCAGGCAAAAAGCCAGTGTCAGACACAGAGCACATCATGTGACAAACGGTAATTGCTACAGTGGTAGAGCTTTCAACAAATGACCCGCGAATGTTAAAACTGTGCTCTTGCTCTCTTTCTGCCTCTCCAGACTCTTTAACTCTAAGCAAATGGGTGTTGCACTGTGTGAATAGAGCTTTTCATTTGTACTCTTTGAACTCTTGGCAAGAAAGACTCTGCCTCTTTAGAAAACACGAAAGAGGGGATTCACTAAGAGTGAATTACGCATTTTCACATGCTGTCTGCGTTGTTTTAGTCCAATTCACTAAAACGACTAAATGATGTAAACCAGGAGGTAATGGAAAAGCAGTCACACAATTAGTGCTGAATGCAATTTCAACAGCTATAAATCTATTAGGCTTACAGGCTAGTTATTCATCAAATGATAATATTGCAGATTATCATGAGATGAGTAAATGCCAGGGTTAATAGAAAGAAATATCTCTTTTAAATAAACATTCATTAACCACCTCTTTAACATGGACGATAAAGGCACAGCACATCACAAAGGCTTTGAATTTTGTGAGTGGAAAACAAATCTGTATCGAATTATAATGAATGATTTTGCAAGTTATTACATGCAGTATTCCAATTATTAGAGAACCACTGCAAAGTTATTCAATTGACATTCACGGTTTGCTTTATATAATACAAACATTTAGCTTTTATTAGGGCTGTCAAATGATTAATTGCGATTAATCGCATCCAAAATACAAGTTTGTGTTTACATAATATACGTGGGTGCACCGTGCATAATTTTTTATATATATATATGAATACACACACATGCTTGTATATATTTAAGAAATATACTTTCATGTATATACTGTAAATACATTTATATATAATTTATATTATATAAAAATATAAATATTTTATATTTTTTTCTTAAATATACATGCGTGTGTGTATATATATATATATATACAAAATAATTATACACAGTGCACCCACATATATTACGTAAACACAAACTTTATTTTGAGTGCGATTAATCGCGATTAATCGTTTGACAGCCCTAGTTTTTATACCATTTACAGTATAAATAATTAATAGAAATGAATAATCATTTGGAATTCAGTTTTTTTTTCCAAGTTCACTGCTCAAAATGTAATTCTTTTGTTTTGTTAAGGCTACCTCTGCGTTATTTTTGATATTGTAATAATAAATGCCTGATTTGGAAGAATGAGTTTCCCAGGTGCACTTGTGGAAGTAGGATGAGGGGGACTTTTTCTAGAGCTGGCAACAAAGAGTGAGCCCTGCATCTTACCTGTAGAGAGACCTGCCTCCGATGGTTGCCAGATTGGAGAAGACACTCAAATCAGTCATGTTTTCTGGCCAGGACTGAATGTTTAAAAAACCTGGAAAATACAAGATGACACACTCAATGAGCCAAATGATCATCCAACATAAGTGGTGCCACCTACAGTAATTAAGAGAAATGCATTACTTTCATTGTAGCATGAAAAAAAAATATCCCTCTTAGAAGCTTATTAAAGTCATTAATGAGTGATCAGTAATGGGTGATCAGTGCATACAGTCAATGTGTTCTTTGAAAAACATGACCACTATATAATGCCTGACTATATTCTCATACCCTGCATCTATTTCCGTTTATTTAATGCAGATTGAAGAGCTGATAGCTATAGATCAAGGAGGCATTTTAATAATGGATTCAAAAATGAATAATTTATTGAAGGGAAAACAATCCTGTGCATATGCCAGGAATAGACAAACGGGCCATGAGGAGAGAGAAAAAAAAAACAACTTTCTTTCTTATTCTTATTCAAGGACAGGAAGAACATAAATTACTCCAATTGTTTTAACAATGCAAAGCTTGGATGGTGCATATTTCAAGTAATAACTGATATTTGATAGCCTTCAAACTAATTCATTACTTTGAGAGGGACATGTTTGAGCAATAGCGGTCTTGTAGAGACTAATATAAATATTATTCCTGCTGAGAGTTTATATCTCTAGGCCACAACTTGTGGTTATCATCCCAGGCCTGCTTTGCTGTGCTTCGTTAAAATTTCGGATTCAAACATTCGGATTCCACACTCATTAGCATGTCTACCGGAAGAGACTAGTAAATATTAATGCAGCCATTTGATTAAGACATTTGCCTCCAGTGATGGTTTTCTGGAGGAGAGAGAAACGCCATCAATAAATCATAAATCATCTAAATTTGACATTAGTTTGAGCTCTGCTGACATTGTTGCCAGACTGTTTATTATTAATGCAAAATCTGCAAAAATGTGCCTGAAATTTCATGATTTTCACTCTTAGAAATCGATCATTTCTGAGCTGAAATTGGGTTAAACGCTTCAGCGTTTGCATTTTCTGCAGCCTGGGTTATTTGGTCTAAGGTTGTGGAGGCAGATTAGAGGAAGTGCCTCAGTGAGGTGTCGTTAGCATGGTGTCTGCTGACACTAATTGCCTTAATGACAAAACTGTGCGATGGGAAGTCTAAGAGAGTGTGTCTGCAGTGCGTTGAGAGTGGGCCACTTGCCTGTCTGTGTTGTAATCTGTTTATTTTTTACGTGTGGAGGCGAGACTTCATCATGCTAATAGTGCTAACGAGGTCCCAGAGAACACTTGTCAGCTCCAGACAAACATCAGGAGAGTAATACTGCCCCACAAATGAATTGCATGCAAGAATCACAAAGGGAACTGCTGCAAATGAGTCCAAGTAACACAACATACAGCTGCCGACACCAGCGAGTTTGATCTACGCCAACATTATCATAAGGCTAGGATCTCTTTGTGTCTTAACTCAAAATTCATGCTTTAAATATTGCGGGTGTGCATATATATATATATATATATATATATAGTATTTGTTATAATATCAGTGCATATAGCAATTTTTTTAAAGACATGTATGCTTTTATTCAGAAAGGATGCATTAAATTGATCAAAAGTGAAAGTATAAAGACATTAAAGACATTTGGAAACATGAATTAAGCATGAATTAAGAATGAACAATACTTCTTCAGCATTTGCTAATCTTAGTTAATATACATTCTTAACTAATTAATGCACTGTGAACTAACATGAACAAACAATGGACAGATGAATTTTCATTAACTAACATTAACAAATATTAATAAATGCTGTAACAAATGTATTTTGTTCACCATTGTTCACCATTGTTCACAAGTCACCATTGTTAGGTCATGTCATTTTATATACCTTAGCTAACATTAGATAATGAAACTTATTTTAAAGTGCTACCAGACATTTATAACATTACAAAATAATTCTAAATCAAATAAATGCTGTTCGACATTTATACGGTATATATATATATATATAAGAAATATTTTCATGAATATACTGTTTATAGATTTATATATAATTTATATTATATATAAATATGAATATTTTATATATAAATAATTTTTTTCTTAAATATACATGCATGTCTGTATGTATATATATATATATGTTAATGCAGAAGCCTCTAAGTGCCATTTGAAATTTTCTTCTAGACTGATTATTTTTATCAAGCTTGTATATTTAAGTTCAGTAATTTCATTACTGTTTTCATCATTCAGTAAATATATAAAAATAATCATTCTAGAAGAAAATTTCAAACAACACTCTTTTCGTATATATATATACTGTATATATATATATATATATATATATATATATATATACATTATTCAAATCTTCATTTCACAAAAATAATGTGGAAAACTATATTTGTACTGTGTTTTTTGCTTTTTGCAATAAACAGTCTAAATCTACTTAACACTGGCTGTTTGGCTGAAAAAACTATCTTCAGAGAAAATAAATAAATTTGGAGAAAACTATCAGATATCATCATCAAAAGGCTGCAAATTATTTTTTTTCTCAGAAAATATTGCTAATTTTTCACAGTTCTATGTCCCCGTGCTACCTCAAGCCCTGAGACCAGGCAGAGGTTAAATCAGGTCAGCCTCTTCTGTCCATCTCTCTTGAGAGATGATTCACAGAGGGCTTGCCTTGAGCTGAAGGCAGTGCCGGAAGAACCACAGGCATTTACCCAAATCTTCAAATACTGGTGGAGAAACATATTTGACTGCGTCTGTGAAATTTTCGTTCAATGCAAGTCAGGCTTTGGGGTTTACTGGGAGTCATACTGACCATGCAACTGAAGCTAGATAATCTTCGTCATGTCAAGTGTATAATTGTACACTGAATTCATTCAAATGGAGTAAACGCATTCGATTTAAAAACCGTCTGTAAAGAAATACACATAGCAGGCACCTCTGGATCTGTCAAAGTCTTCAAGCTGGGGGTCACAGAGCAGAAATAACACCTTTCCAGTGAAGACATTCTGTCAGACTGTGGCCACATGCATATAGATGTGACAGCCTGACATGCATGCCTCACTGACTTAGAGAGCCCTCCAGCAAGAGAGTGAGAAAGGTAAAGAGTGTGAGGAAGAGAGAGAGAGAGAGAGAGAGAGAGAGAGAGAGAGAGAGAGAGAGAGACGTGTTTCCAACTGCTTTCATGTTTCTTACGAGTCCTGCTCTCCTTTGGGAAGCTCTCTTCAGTTGGAGAAATCTTCTTCATCATGTATTCATCATATATAGGGCCTCCCCGCTGAGATACAGAGAAGCGGACACTTGTACAAACACACACACAGTTACACACGTCCCAAACACTCGTCTACAAATCCACAAACACACTGGATCTTCCTCTGTGCTTTGTTCCTTGTGTTTTTGATGGAACTCTTCAATAAAACAGGTGGATAATGAAAATCTGGGCATGTGAATCAGCTATTTTCATTTTACAGGCCCTTCTCTATGAAATAGTAATAATAATAATTCATTACATTTGCATAAGTTAATGCCCGAGTTCTAAAATGTAGGAAGCTGCCTCGCTGTCCACGGCCGCATTAACCATAGGGCTAGGCGGGGCTAAAGCCCCGGGGCCCAAGCAAGGAGGGGGCCCGTGATTGGCTGTGGAGCAGATACTGCAAGCCATCTGATTACCAAAGCCTTACCACGCAACGTCCCCCACAAATTAGCCGTGTTATTTAGTGGCACTTTCCCTTGTTATATTCCATGCATTATCATGGAATCATTATCATTAATAGAGACGTTCGCAAAGACCCGCCTTTTTTAGTATGTGACGAGCCACGAGTCAGGCGGGTCTCACGAGTCACGCACATCATGTTCTCATGCACTCACGCAGTGAAAAAATACATCGCGGGGCAAAGACTAACGTTACACCGAGTGATTACGAGAGAGAGTTCAAAGCAGCTTACTGATGATATGAAACAAAGTCTCAACTTTCAAATATTGTCATTTAAGTAATTTAAACAACACCGTTTTCAAGTTCATATCCACCGACGTTACTGACAGCTTTGTTGTCGGACAAAGTTGCTTATTTGGCGTTATGATTGGCCAGGCCACCTGTCAATCAAACCCCCGTGCAGCAGCAGGGCAAAATTGAAACGTCAGGTTTTAATTTAATATGACAAATACATTTATTCTATTAACTTGTGAACGACCTGCTGCTGCATTAACCAATAAATACATCAACCAATAAATCGCCTTTACTCTTCACTTCATTCTAGTCTATTCTTAAAACAGTGTCATCATCGACCCCACAAACTTTCATCAAGTTTGAATATTAACTTGATGGATGTATAATTTTGCTTTTTGTGTTTGATTAAACTCTATATTCGTCTAAAGGACTGGCGATAATATATCGCAACCCGGTATCACGACAAGACGTGAAATAATCACGTTGGTCCACTTTGGAAAACGTGTAGATGTCACGGTTTAACCCCTTCAAACGTGAAACTTACACGTTTGCGTTAACACATTCCAGTGGAGAGATACCCGGATGTTAACCTATTTTAAATGTATAACATTAATTACAAATGCAGCGAACACACTAATGTCTCCTAATCTGTAAGCACTAAGGTGCTAACGGCACTGAAGTTACAGGAGTTTCTTCCCGTTGCTAAGCAACGGTGGGTCGAGTATTTAAAAGGTTATGGTTAACACGGTTAACGTGGTTTAACGTCGATGTAATGCGTTGTTTTAGCGAACCTTTTGCTTAAACGAGGAGCTGGGGGACGCCGGAAAAATAGACGTTTAACTCATTTGGCTACTTCATTAAAACGTGACATTTTGACGTTTTTTTCGGCGTGGATCAAGGCAAATGAATCCTTTTCACCTTGAAAACAATACTTTTTTGCATTTTAATTAATAGAACATTTCTCAGTGATCGTCGATAAAACAAAATAAATTTTTTTCTCGGTTTAATGAAAACCAATAGGTCGTTATGGCAGAGGCGATTACGTGTAGAATAGGTCAAACGTGTAAGTTTCACGTTAGAGGGGGTTAAACCGTGACATCTACACGTTTTCCAAAGTGGACCAACGTGATTATTTCACGTCTTGTCGTGATACCGGGTTGTATATCCGGTAGAAATATTTACATTTTGCTGCGCATCGATGTAAGTTTATCATTTAAACGCGTTTTTAAACATTGTGGTTTGGATACAAATTATTTCAAACTGCTCAGGCACAGTGAGCAGGAGAGAATTCATTTTGTAAATGCTGCTTTTGAGATCATGGTGAACTTGAGACGGTTTTGCACAGCGCACTTGAATCCGACTCTGAGGTCTCAAAGTGACAGACGCTGCTAATAAAGATGCTGTCGCCATGTGTGTCAATAATGTTAATCAAACATCAGAAAGAAAGTAATTTAACGTTTCTGTGAAACTGAATTACTTTTGCAAAATTAACAAGAATGAATGTTGAATTTATAGTGAAAACCATATTGTATATTTGATTACTTTATATAATATAATATTATTCAGTGCTTAAAGTTTTTCATAAGTCGATTTATTGTGCCTTTGTTCTATTTTAATTTGTGACTCTTGTCATCAGTAAGCTTGAGATTATTTTTAAGCCACTATTATTTTTGGTGATATTGAAATTGGTCACAATAATTATGAAATTGTAGTCGCAATACATTTTAATATGATAAAAATAATAGTGTTAAAAGTAACATAACTTAACTGTGAAGTATATCATAGATGGATAAAATGACTCGTATAATAATATAACATTTAGCTCATGTAGTTGGTGACCTAAAGTGGTGGGGGGGCCCTGCAGTAACTCATAGCCCCGGGGCCCAGTGAGCTCTTAATACGGCTCTGTCGCTGTCTACTATCTTCTAAGGCTGCATGAAGTACCCTCATTAGTGACTGGTTAGCCCGTTCTCATCCTTTAGCGTCACATAGAATGCTATGACAAAACGGCGCTATACTACGCACATGGCACCCTTTATCGTTAATATAACACGCGAGCCCAAGGTGTCATAAATCCTTTAGCGTAATATGAGACTACCCTACCCTACCCCACACCTAAACCTACCCATCACAGCGCGTTATATTAACGATAACGGGTGCCATATGTGTGTAGTATAGCGCCATTTTGTCATATAACGTTACCTATTTGACGCTAAGGATTTGGAACATTCTCTCAGGCCCTGTTCAAACCTGGTATTGTGATGTGTTTTGGTTAATCGGATCACAAGTGGACAATGTGTGTAGAGGTGTAAATACAGGTGTAAAGGGGGGTTTAATATGTTTTGAGCTTTTCCACTTCCAGACTTAGACAAAAATGCATTCGACCAGATTGATTTTGTAGCGTAGACGCTCACTGTCAAATGAGTTCGAACAGCCACAAAACAAAAGCCAACTATCCACCTACTGACCTAAAGCATAAATATTATGGGAAGCGCGCTATCCAGACTGGATTTAAACTTTGTCTTGGTTCTGGAGAACCAAGTATTTGAAGACGAAAAACGTGCTAAGCACAATTTTCTCTCACCATTGATGATTTCTAATGCGGTAGTCTTGTGAATGAAGGTGCAAACAAGATACTGTTATAGATTGAAAATGGGAATGTTTCTCCATCGTCTACTTGTGATCCAACTGATCAAAATGCATACCAGGTGTAAGCAGGGCCTTAGTGTGTTAAACAAATAACCCTCCTCGAGCATCGTGCACAGTAAACGTAACTAGACTGATTTCAGCAGGGATTGAGTTAGCAGTGCTTGTGTCAGCACATATTCTAATAAGCATAAACATACATACATTTTGGGTAAAATTGTTCACTTATTATATTAGCATATAGCATTTAAGTACAAGAGTGCCTACAAGAGGAGGATGGGCGCCCCCTGCTAAATGCTGGTTCCTCCGAAGGTTTTTTTTTTTTTGTCTTTTATGGCTTGCGCAATTTGTGTTTGTAAAGCACTATGCATTGTTCAAATATGCCTTGACAACAATTATTATGTAAAAGACCAATCCAAATAAAACCAACATGACTTACCAGTGATCTCTCGAACGGTGCGGAACACATTGAGTTTCTCTGGATCCAAGGGCTCTATGTTGTGGTATATGTCCCTGTAACACACAGTACACTCAGTCCATACTGAAAGCCACAGCATTTCTTTAAGAAATCAAGAAAAACCTAGCAGTTGAGTCCAGATCGTGTAACAAGCTCTTAAAGCAAACAGTGAGAAGCCATTTGCAAAAATCAAGTTATTAGAGAGTCCATACGTCAATATACAAGCATTTAACCAGTGTCTGCTGACCACATCCATCCCAGTATGCTGCATTTTGTAGAGTCCCCATGCCCAACCAGAGCATGGGGACTCTAACGGAGAGCCTTGGCACTTCCTATTAGCCCCATTGTGTATCATCCTGGTTGCAGTTCCATAAGAATTCCACTAGGGGTGATCGCGGGCGAGAGCAGAATGAATGGGAGTCTATGGGGCTAAACGGCTAAAAGTGTCTCTTATAGATTTTATTGTTGATTCCGCAAGTTCAATATAGATTATAGGCCAAAAGTCGAATGAGCGAGTACTTATGTCCTTTTGATTTCTTACAGGTTAGGCCGTTGTTGGCCGGACCACGCTAGCATTCTGCTATTGTGTGACGTCATCACATTTTTGAACGGATTTTTAGAACAGATAAGTGAACTTAAAAATGCAATTTTCAGCTGAGTGTATGATCTTAGCCCTCCCTTTTGAATGCAACTTTCAAATTACTTGACAAAAAATTACATCCTGAGAAAAGTGGATTTCTGGGGCTGAAACCCCATTGACTCCCATTCATTCTGCACTTGACCGCGAGCGCCCCCGCATGGACAGAGATGCGGGGGCATCTCTCTTTCCAGAAACCGGAAGTAACCAGCCAGTGCCAATTCTCTTCATTTAGAAATTCTCTGGCCCCACACTCTTAGAAAAAAGGGTTCATTGGGGTTCTATATATGAAGCATTGTGTTCTTTACTCAACTCCAAAGAAACTTCTATAATTACAAGAAAAAACCCTTTTGGCACAAAGGTTCTTTATAGGCTATTATTCAATCATATATTACATTATTCTACAACATTTCGTAGTTGTAATTAAATAATTTTTTATTCAATTTTTGCAGTAACTTCATTTCACATTTTAATCATGCTGATTTTTGGAGGAGAAAAACTGAAATGGCACTCTTCGTGTGATATTGATCACCTACATAAAATGATATAAATATATACATTTTCTAACCCCATATCTTGAATTTTGTGATCATTCACATGCATTCATATATACATTTTAGGATCTTGATGTGTGTCAATAATATGAAATATTTAATCCGGAAAGGACAAAACAAATGATAATGAATGAACCGAAAAGGTTCCATATAGAACCTTTTTCCTGGTTACAAAGAATTGAACCCTTAAAAATAAAACCTTTTAGGGGTTCCAAATACGAAGCGCTGATAGAACCTTTTAAGGTTCAATACTACTGTGCGCACTACTGTGTTTTCATTTAAAAACGGAGAATTAAAACGAATACGATCTCCGTCCACATCACCGTTTTATCTGCGTATTAGAAATGATCTCCGTCCACATTAAAACGACTGAAAACACGGATCACGTGACCATTCACCAACACAGCCCGTCATGACTAATGACACCCAATCATCGATTTTAAAGTCCTCCGTTTTGTCCCGTCTTCACTAAAACGCCCTCCGGAGATTCAAAACGCGAAACGGAGTTGCAGCGTTTCTAAACTCCTCCGTATCAGGTCTTCGTTTTTTCCTTTTTAGTCTGGACGGGAGGTGCAAACGTAGCAAAAGTTCTCCATTTTTTTAAACGAAAACGCAGTAGTGTGGACGGGGCCTAAGAGTGTATAATGTTCTTTTGAGCAGTACAGCAAGTTTTAATAGCACCACTGAGCTGGAGATCTTCGGGGAGGATGTGTCCAGAACACCTGCTGACGCGGCGTGTGCGAGAGCGTGCACGTGGGAATACGTGTTCGAAATATGTGCACAGTTTGTGGTGGAGATGATGTCATACAGTATGCAAGTCTATCAGGATGTGTGTATGTGTGCACATGAGATGGGTTTTCCCAGCTTGCTTGCTTGCTTTAAGAGCAGAGTCAGCTATATGGGGTTAAAGGGTCAGCCAAGCAGGCGCAGTGGGATCAGAAAGAGACCACTGCAGGGAGCAGGTCAACCAGAGGTCAAATGACTTCTTGACAAGCTGACAATCAAATATTTCACAACTCTTATATAAAGAGGGGGCAGCAGATTTCTCACATAAAGTCACATTAACTGCGGCCGTCTTGAGAGTCAGTCGAAGGTCTCGTAGGTCTTGCTTGCCTGTCTAAACTCGCAAAGTGTGTTAATGGCACTTTTATTGTGTGCTATTAAACTAGCCACTGCTGGGTTTTTTTTACACAGCCATGATGTGAATGGTTTCTCTAGAGCTTTTCTTTCATGAATCCCCTCCTGCATCATTAAAGCTGATGTTATCTGATAAAAAGAAGCAGCATAGGTCAAATGGCTTCCGACGATCCAATATTCGATATTCAGCTGTAAAGCAGAGTGCAATGGCTGTGAAGTGAGCCGAAAGAGACCTTGAAGGAGCCACTCTCACCCTTTAATGCCTGTGATGAGGAACACTAGATTTCCGTTGATCTTGGTGCAGTTGATGAATCTGTCGATGTTGCTGGAGTCGACGGTTTGAGCCGTCTGAAGGCTGGCAGTGCCAATGCCATCACACGCTATAACATAAACCAGACAACTGTGTAAAAATCATAACTGGAACTTTCAGGTGATGTTTCATGACTTTGAAAGAAAGAATAATTAATGGATGGTTAATGTCAGGCAGGGCCGGAGTGGGACTCATTTTCAGCTGGAGTTTCATGCCTTAGACCGGCCCACTTCAGTTCCCGACTGACTATATTAAAATAATGTAATTAAAACCTCATTGTATAAGCAATAGTGCAATGTTCTGTACAGCATTGTAATTCATTGTATTTTTTCAAAAATATTATTTTCTATTCAGTGCAATAGCCGGGTATGCTCCCCCGGGATTTTTTTTTTTTTTTTTTGAAAAATAAACCATTAAATGCACTTTCTGGAGAGTTTTGTGCAAAGAAATATAGAATAAAAGTTTGCTAGCTGAGAAACACTGCTTTAATTATTGTATTTATGATGACTTTGTGAAATGTTAACTAAACAGCATGAGCCTCTTCAGCTGGCCAGTAAGGTTATTTGGCAAATTTCATTCTGTAACATACAGATCTGTATAATGCTATTGTTTTTGATAGTGTTATAGCCTACATTTCTTACAGAAAATCAGGATGATCATTGTGTTTGTCTTACCGAATGTGATAGCTTTATGCAATTACAGTTTGTCTATAAGCTTTTTTTTAAATTTATTTTTATTAACGCTGATAGTAAAGTGTTGCCAGATATTGCTGCGAAAAAGAAGCAAAACAAAACAAAATATTAATAATAATCCGAAATTAGTTAATGTTTGTGTTTTGGAAATAAGATTAATACATCACTAACCCTAACATGCAAGTTTCCACTTTAATAACTTTTTAAAGTGTCACGTTAAATCAGAAAAACAGGTCCAGGAGATTAATGCACCTTTCCATTACGTGGATCTGGCAACACGGATGCTGCACTCGCGCTCTCATTCACAACGCGCTGTTCACTGCGCTAGCTTCTCACACTCACAGCAACATGAATTGGAAACACTCATGTGAGGTGGTTTAAACATGCCTAATTAATCATTCAAAGAGCATGACATTTTTATTTTTGAATGTAAAAAAATGACAGAGGTCCAAACCTCGGTGACCTCACATCTGTGTTAAATAGGAATCCATTGTAATAAAGTTATTCTCATTCTGATCTGGGCACAGTATGCAATAGGCAATTGCTCTTCCTGCTTCTCTTTCTCTCTTCTTCTCTCAGTCTCTTTAACTTTACCTGTAAATCTCCCCTTCCCGAAGCAAAGCTTTGATTGATAGTCTTTGCAATCTGATTATTTATGTCGGTCGTTTAAAACTTCTACCGTAAAACAGCTGTTTAGTATAGCCACTTGCATCTTATTATCTTGGGAAGCGTCGCGTTGGGTTTCGTGGTACGTGGCTCGCGCTTCTGTGGAAATAAATCCAGCTTTGATCGGTCATCTCAAACATTTTGCCATTGCCGACGAGCGGCGTTTGAGTGCTGATGTTGAGGTTGGTTCTCGTTGCGTTATGGTGGTGGGTACGGCCCTGACTTGTAAGCGTATTGTCCATGTTTTGTATCTCTTATTTATTTATTTTTTTTTGTTCGCACATCTCTAGCAACTGACTTTTTTGTGGGGCTGCGAGAAAATAATAATAAAAATAGTTGGGCTGCGCTGTGACTGGAGCGCAGCCTATATTTAACACATGAAGAGTTCAGATGCAAAAGCCTCCAAGTGCCATTTGAAATTTTCTTCTAGAATGATCATTTTTATCAAGCTTGTATATTTAAGTTCACTAATTTCACTCAAATGGCAATGATAATTACCTATTAATTGTTATTTAAGTGAAATTACTGAACTTAAATATACAAGTTTGATAAAAATCATCATTAAAGGAGAACATTTCAAATGGCACTTAGAGGCTTTTGCATCTGAACTCTTCACATTCACCCAGTGCTGTGAGTCTGTGACAACGCCGGCCCTCCTAGCCAATAAAACAGACCGGCCCACCGGGAATTCTCCCGGTGCTCCCGATTAGCCAATCCGGGCCTGATGTCAGGTCAGGACCCCTTCAGAAATTGGTTAGCAAGTTCCCACCAAAATACCATAATTCACACATTACTGTTACTGCTGTAAAGTTCACAGTGGACAATATGTGTTTCGTCACAATACACCACTGCATGATGAACAAAGTAGGTTGTGTACTGGAAAGGCTGAACTATTCTGATAACAATAATTATAGTAACCACTGAACTTCAGTGAACTATGTAACTATCCTAACTATGTATATATATATATATATATATATATATATATATATAAACACTGATTATAAATGTACAATATTATATATATATATATATATATATATATATAATTATTGTAAGTTTAAAAAAAAAATAAACATCTGAAATGGTGAAAAAAATATATTTTTAAGCCAAAGTACTAAAATTATGAAAACCAAAAATGAAATAAATAAAAAAAAATAGTAATAATACAGCCCGTTCTCATCCTTTAACGTCATATAGAACGCTATATGCAAAAACGGCGCTGTACTACGCACATGGCACCCTTTAATCGTTAATATAACACGCGAACCCAAGACGTCATAAATCCTTTAGCGTGAATATGACACGCACACCCTACCCCACACCTAAACTTAGCCCTCACAGCGCGTGTTATATTAACGATAAAGGGTGCCATGTGAGTAGTATAGCGCCGTTTTTTCATATAGCGTTCTATATGACGTTAAAGGATGAGAATGCGTAGAATAATAATATAAATGTCAAAAACACACCTGAAAATTAAACTAAAATTAAAATATAAAAGCTAATTAAAAATATTGCTAAATAGCATGCAAGTAATATTAAAATAATACTATACTGTTATAAATGAAGTAAATAGCATTTCCACCAAAAATATGTTTTTGCTTTGCTATCACAGTCTGTAAAGTTTCACAGACAACTGAAATTTTGGTTCTGGGGCAATCATCATAGCGAATATGTCATTTTGCTGAGTTTTGATGAAGTGTGTGTGATCACCTTTAGGGCAGATGTCAGTGCAGGGGATGCACATCTTGATCCTGTTCTCCTCCACCTCCATCTTGTTGCTGGGACAGGCTCTGACACAGGAGCTGTGGTCCACCACGAAGTTATCTATCACCCCACACACAAAAGCAGAACAAACAGTCAGACTGCAGCGTGCTCCTGAACAAACTCTAAGCAATCTCTGTGAAAAAGGCCATTGACATTTTGTAATGGTAGAGAAGAAACATCCATTCTCAGACAAAAACCATTAACACATCTGCACGAACGCACTTGGGACCCTGACTGTGGTGTGTGTGTGTGTGTGTGTGTGTGAGGAAAGAGCCCATTTCCGGCGGCGACTGTGCAGTGTGGCATCCATCACCAGAGAGGAGAAAGGGCTCACGACGGGCCAGATAACAGAAGATGGAGCTCTCAAGTGCAGACGTCTCTCTTCACCTCTTACATTAAACGTGAATCTCAGAGTCTTACTGTGGCATTAGATTTAACGTGACACCACAAGAAAGAATAAAACACAACCCTCACTTAACAGTCTCGTGAAATCCAACCAAACTGAGGATTTCAGAGATGTGCCATTGAATGAAGTGGCCATGTCCAAACTGCAGAGGATTGTTTGGGTTATGGAACGGGTCTCTGAGTATTGCACAATAACATTCATCGTGGACTGAGCACTGGAGTGGGCGTCTGTCAGTGTGCAAACCCTTCATTCTGCAGCAGTGGCGTCCCAGCAAGGGGGAATAATGGCACTTGTGCTACCTATAACCACTGTTATCAAAACTCTCTTTCATTATTTTGATGTAACTTTCTCTTTCCCCGGTCTCTCCTCTTCAAAGAAGTAAGGCCAGTTCATTCGAAATTTTCCTCGTTCCAATGAGAAACGCACGGGATTCCTATCTTCCTATCAGGTCTATTCACACTCAGCTCTGTTTTATATGTTGCATTGTATTCATGGGTATAGTAAATATGAAGAGTTCAGATGCAAAAGCCTCTAAGTGCCATTTGAAATGTTCTGCTAGAATGATCATTTTTATCAAGCCTGTATATTTAAGTTCAGTAATTTCACTTAAATTGCAATGAAGATTACCTATTAATTGTCACTTAAGTGAAATTACTGAACTTAAATATACAAGCTTGACAAAAATGATCATTCTAGGAGAAAATTTCAAATGGCACTTAGAGGCTTTTGCATCTGAACTCTTCATATTTACTATACCCATGAATACAATGCAACATATAAAACAGAGCTGAGTGTGAATAGACCTGATAGGAAGATAGGAATCCCGTGCGTTTCTCATTGGAACGAGGAAAATTTCGAATGAACTGGCCTTACTTCTTTGAAGAGGAGAGACCGGGCACTTAGAAAAATGCACTTGGAGGCTTTTGCATCTGAACTCTTCATATACATACTTTGTTATGGTGCTGACAGTGCAAAGCCATTAAAAATGTACTCATAGATCACATTTAAATTTTTACTTAAAGGGATAGTTCACTTTGAAATTAATTTTTGGTATCTTTTAGCTTACCTCAAGGGCCTTACATTAGGTCAAACCGTTTGTGTCTATCAGTCATATAATGCAGGTCTATGGTCACCACCTCAAAGAGCATGCACAGAGAAGTCCAAATTAAACATGATTTAATGACTCATAAATGTAGGTCGACATCGATGGCCCAAGACACGAAACGAGCGGTTTGTGTGAGAAAACGAACCATGTTTATATCGTTTTTACCTCTTGTAATCACAGTCACTTCCAAGTGATCTGAGGGCTCGGGGCTTTGTGTCTCTGGTAACAAGAGATAAAAACGATATAAATACTGTCATCTAGACATCTGTGTAGTATGATGAGCCACTATGGTTGAAGTGTTTGTAAACACAAATGCTAATTGTCATTAGAAAATGCTTTTATCACAAACAGTTTCCGAACTTGTTTCTCTGTCACTTTCTCAGTGATCTGAAGGCACGGGCACTTTGTGGCTGTGGTTACAAGAGGTAAAACGATATAAATACTGTTCGTTTTCTCACACAAACCGCTCGTTTCGCGTCTTAGGCTATCAATGTGTACTTACATTTATAAGTCATTAAATCATGTTTAATTTGGACTTTTCTGTGCATACTCTTTGAGGTGGTGACCATAGACTTCCATTATATGACTGACAGACATGAACGGTTTAATCTAAAAATATCAAAATTGAAACTACTGCAGAAACAAATACACCTACATCTTTAAAGTGAACTATCCCTATAATACATTTCAATGTGGGATGGACAATAAAACATTTAGCAGTAGTTGAAATTAAGTTTATCTTCTGTTTAGGGACTCACATTGAGGAGCATTACTGTTTTGTGGATATTATTTTTTTCATAAAATATCGGTCTACTTGAGCTTGATTAAGTTGGATTAACGTATTAAATTAATGCGAAGAAAAAAATATTCATCAAAAATAAAAATAAACGAATTCTCAACAGAACATGGGGGTTAGATGTCGTTTTAAATGCATATTTTAGTATTTTAACAATAACTATTTTGAGATCAAACAATAGTTGGTGGACCCCCTGCAGCAATGCCACAGATCCCTGGTTAAAGACGCTTTCTTTTCTTTTCTTTTCTTTCTTTCTTTCTTTCTTTCTTTCTTTCTTTCTTTCTTTCTTTCTTTCTTTCTTTCTTTCTTTCTTTCTTTCTTTCTTTCTTTCTTCTTTTCTTTCCTCCAAGTAAACAGAGGTCAAGAAGCTGAGTGAGATATATAAGACAGGCTCACTCCTGGGGCTCTACGTGTGGGCCGCACCTCAACAGGGGCTCAGAGGAGCCTAAGGACTCAGGTGCAGCCGATTCGCCTCATTTGCATTCAATCTGAAACATGCTTACATGCCTGCTTGTGAACGCGCCTAGACATGGCATCTGATATCCATTTATGTGAGTGAAAGATTGAGCTAGAATCGCGTGCGTAAGCATAGACAGGTTTGTATTTATTCTCTCTGTCTTACGTGGACACTTTTTGACGCAGAAAGCCCCATATGTGTATTTGGCCCGCGGGTTGTGCTCCAGCTGGAACGTGGTTGGGTTGTAGACGAAGGGTTGCGGGCATTGCGTCACACATGCGCCGCTGTCGTTGAAGTTAGTGCAGGCCTAGACACAAGGAAACAAGGTTATTGACAGCTATACACATTTATTTGATAAAACAGCTGACAGAATCTTGTGTTGCTACTCTTACAGTCTCATTTTTGAAAAAGTATGCAATAGAAGAATGCGCATGAACACAAAATAAGCTTCAACACACAAAAAGAGTACTGTATGTCAACCAACACTAATACCACATAAAAGCAATATAGAGCAGCAATGCTACTGATAATGATTCAAACAGGCTAATGGAATGGAAAAAGCTCTATACATTGACTTTAGAAACATGTGAGAATAAATGTTTTCTGTCTTAGAGTTGCTGAGATGTTCTTTTTTCAATTAAAAGGGAACAATTGAGAAGTACAATATCAATGATTACAGCTGAGGATAACTAATTAAAAAACCAAGGAGGTGCGATAAATCGCTTTCTCTGAGGGCCGGAGAGGCGAAGAGCAGTCAGAGACGTTCGGGATCTGCCCAGGCATCACGCAACAAAAGAGTTACAGAGGTGTGGCCCCCACTTCATTCACAGCAAAGCATTGTGGGAGGAAATGAGATTTTAATGGTATCTCCAGTGCAAAGACCCTCTCCTATAGGGAGATTTCTGGTCAAAAGCGAGTCATCTGTGGGCAACATAGATCTCTTTTGCAGAAGTGAATATCACAGCTGAACAAAAACTCACAGATAAGGTGAGGGAGCCAGAATGGGTCTAGCGCTGTTACCGTAACACTTACACAATCGCAGGTTTATGGGATGCTGATAAGGCCATAGATGACTGACAGACTGTGTGTGTGCGCGCGTGTGTGCGAGCATGTGTGTGTGTGTGCGTTTGGGGGGAAAAAGTTTTTACATGCTGAGACATCTAAGAGGATAATATTTGAAGTTAAGGATTCTAAACGACCTAGAAAAGATTTTGACTAGTTGTTAGTCAATGCTTAAAGGAGTAGTTCACTTAAAAAAAAATAAAAATAAAAAATTTTTTTCTCATAATTTACTCACCCCCCTGTCATTCAAGATGTCCATGCTTTTCTTTCTTCAGTCGAAAAGAGATTAAGGTTTTTGATTTTCAGGATTTTTCTCCATACAATGGACTTCAATGGGAACCAAATGGTTCAAGGTCCAAAAGACAGTTTCAGTGCAAACTGTTCAAAGGGCTTTAAACGATTCCAGATGATGAAAAAGGGTCTTATCGAGCGAAACGATTGCTCATTAAAAAAAAAAAAAAGTTTAAGTTTTATAAGCTCAAATGGTCGCCTTGCTCTGTTCTGTGATGCACGTTCGTGACTCTCCTGTTCGAACTCGTTTATCAAAATGAACAAATCTTTTTTTCGTGTCATTTGGTTCATTAAACGAACGAAATGAACGAGTTGACTCGGGAAAAGATTTAATTTTGATAAAGTTTTTTTTTTATTTATTTTTTATTTTATTTTTTTATGAGCGATCGTTTCACTTGATAAGACTCTTATTCATCGTCTGGAATTGTTTAAAGCCCTTTGAACAGTTTGCACTTTGCACTGAAACTGTCTTTTTGACCTTGAACTGTTTGGTTCCCATTGAAGTCGATTATATGGAGAAAAATGCTGGAATGTTTTCATCAAAAACCTTCATTTCTTTTCGACTGAAGAAAAAAAGACATGGACATCTTGGATGACATGGGGGTGAGTAAATTATTAGCAAATGTTTTTTTTTTAAAGTGAACTACTCCTTTAAAAGCACAATGTCCACTATTTTCACATCTACATAATTTCAAACAGAGTGAGGTTTAAAAATCTGATTCCACTTTACAAAAGTATTTTAATACTCTTTTTTGAGATTATTCAAAATCCAATTTTAAACCTATGAAAACTATTTTAGAATTAACATTTCACATTAACTATAAATGGCAACTATAACAAACAATACCTAGAAAGTTCATTCAAATTCTATGAGAATAGGGAAGTCCACACCACAACTAAATATTAGAAGAACGACATAATTGAAATCACTTGCAAAACGATAAATGAACGATATATTTCAAAATGATTCTTTTTCCAGTTGATAAATGATAAAAACACTGACAGCCAATCAGAATCCACCCTGCTTCAAAAAAACCTGAGCATTTAAAGTGGCAGGCGACATAATTGCAGTGTGTGCCTATAATAAACACTGTGTCACTGTGCATTGGTGTGGACGTTTATATATTTATTGTTAGCTATAATCTTCATTATAGCTAACAATAAATCTTTATAAATCTAAATAGATCTTTATAGCTATCTCAGTTATTACTCTTGGTGTGAACTTGTACAAAAGTTCAAATGTTCTTGCTTCCTTTGAAGCTCAATAAGGTCTTTGGATCATTCTCAAATCTTGCTGGAAAATATGATAATCAGGTTTTTTACAAACTTGTGAAGGTCATGCAGATTGAGTACTGCTGTTATTAAAGCAAAAAAGAAAAAATGTGTTTGCTGATCATATAATTTGTGTTGATAAAAACCCTAAAAAAAATAGAAGAATCCAAAAGCTCAACTTTGCTAGTGGACTTTGAACCCAACTACACTGTATATATTGACTATGGCATGAAAATACAGAGCAAATACAGAATAGACACAAAGAAAGAACAGTTTGTGGACAGAGGACTTCATCCTGCTGTCACCATATAGAACAAGCTGCAGTCATGTGGTCTGTGACTAGTCGACACAGAGACAAAACATCAACTAGTGGCAGAACTGCTCGACTATACATCTGACATCACTAGTATGGGTGTATGTGTGTGAAACACAAATACTGAAGACATACAAAGCAGTCTGTGTCCTTTGGTCCCGAACAGCCTCCAGCACACTCGCGATGGCAGCAGTCACTGACGTACGGCCCAAAACAGCGGCCATCGCACTGCTCAGCACACACCGTCTTGGTCACTGAGAAAGTGACAGAGAAACAAGTTCAGAAACTATTTGTGAAAAAAAGCATTTTCTAATGACAATTAGCATTTGTGTTAACAAACACTTCAACCATAATGCCTCATCATACTAAAAAGATGTCTATAGACAACAAGAGGTAAAAACAATATAAATGTCATCTATAGATGACATAGACTTGACTGTGATTAGAGGTAAAACGATATAAATGCTGTTTGATTTGTCACACAAACCGCTCGTTTCGTGTCATCAATAGGCCATCAATGTGTACTTATATTTACGAGTCATTAAATCATGTCTTATTTGGACTTCTCTGTGCATGCTCTTTGAGGTGGTGACCATAGACCTCCATTATATGACTTACAGACAAGAACGGTTTGACCTAAAAATTTAAAAATTGAAACTACTGTGGAAACAAAGACACCTACATCTTGCATGCCCTTGAGGTAAGCTAAAACATACCAAAAATTAAATTTCAAAGTGAACTATCCCTTTAAGAAGAAGAAAACCGAGCTAGCCGGAGAGAACAAGTGGGGATGTGTGGTCTCTTAACTTCAATGATGGTGAACATGGAGCAGTGCTGCTTTCCTACTCCTAGCGATACTCCATAATGAATATAGACATTCACAGTAATTCCAAACATATGGCATGCCAAATACATCTCCGGTGTAGCTGTTGAATGAGCTTAGGGAGCTTTCTGAAATAAGGCCAACTTTATGCGATGTAAGGATGCAAATAAAGACGTGGATGCTTGGCTAATGCAACTCTTCTTACGTTGTTAGGATAGTAACAAACTTTACTCATGGGTGTGATAGAGTTATTATCAAAATGCATCAAATGTTATTAAGGTTCAAACGTGGGCTTGGTACATTTTGGTGTTTTATTTTTTGAAAGTATTCATTTAAAATAACTGATTCGTATAATATATTTAAAAATGTAATTTATTCATGTGAAAGCCAAAGCTGAATTTTCAGCATCATTTCTCCGGTCTTCAGTCAAGTCAAGCCACATTTATAGCGCTTTTTACAATACAGATTGTTTCAGGAAAATGCAACAAAGTTTGTTTCCAGAAGGAAATAGCTAACACAGTCTCATCCCAAGTCGTCATCTAACTGACGTCTTGGGACGTCTTTTGACCATACGTCAACATCCGCCTTTTTAGGGTACCCTTAAACGTTGGTTAGTTGACGATCCCAGGCCGTCATACAACTGATGCTTTACCTTTAACGTCGGTTAGGTGACGGGGTAGGTTTAGGTCTGGGGTAGGGTTAGAATCCGATAACGTCATCTAACTGACGTTTAAGGGTACCCTAAAAAGGCGGATGTTGACGTATGGTCAAAAGACGTCCCAAGACGTCAGTTATATGACGTCTTGGGATGAGACTGCGCTGAAATAGCATATTTGTCCAGCTTAAGCTTCAGTTCAGTGTCACATTTCCTTCAAAAATCATTCTAATATGCTGATTTAGAAAAATGTCTTCCTATTATCAATGTTGTAAAAAAAAGTTGTACTGCTAAGTGTTTTTGTTTTGTTTTTGTGGAAACTGTGATACTTTTTTCACCACATTTTTTTGATGAAACAAAAAAAATGAACAATACAAATGTCTTTAATGGTACTTTTGATCAGTTTAATGCATCCTTTCTGAATAAAAGTATTAATTTCTTAATATATATATATATATATACATTTTTTAATGGAAGTTGAGCTAGCTGTAAATGTGTCAAATCACCCGATCTCACAGCAATTCGTATGAATTTTACGAGAAGGCTAATTCGTAACAATTTGTACGACCTCACTCATACGAATTAGTATGATTTTTGCTAAAGCGTACATATTTTACGAGTTGGCCATTTCGTATGAATTCATACGAATGACCTACCCCTGACCCCGCCCCTAAACCTACCCATCACGTGGGTTTAAACAAATCATACAAACTTTTTAATCACTCGTACAAATTCGTACAAATTCGTCGTGAGATTACCAACAGAGTCTCATCCCAAGAAGTCATATAACTGACGTCTTGGGGCGTCTTTTGACCATACGTCAACATCTGCCTTTTTAGGGTACCATTAAACGTCGGTTACATGACGATCCCGGGCCGTCATACAACTGACGCTTTACCTTTAACGTCGGTTAGGTGACGGGGTAGGTTTAGGTCTGGGGTAGGGTTAGGATCCGATAACGTCATCTAACTGACGTTTAAGGATACCCTAAAAAGGCGGATGTTGACATATGGTCAAAAGACGTCCCAAGACGTCATATAACTGAGACTGCGCTGAGATTGCGTAGGTCGAATTGAACTAAATTCCCGAGTAAGATTCTCCTAAAACAGCTGCTCTGCAATCACAAATGTTGACCTGAAAGAGAGAACTAGCTATAGACCATTTTGCAAGATATAAACAACACTGGTCCAGAAGCACTTCCTGTTTCAGTTTTTTAACACTACATAAAAGCTGGGATAAAATACAACCAACAGACATCTTTAAGATGTTTTCTTTACATGTGAAATAAAGAAAACAGTTACAAAGTGAAACAGGAAGTGTTTCTGGACCAGTGTTGTTTACATCTTGCAAAATGGTCTATAGCAGAGTACAGTTTATGTTATTGGCCAGTGGGTTATGCTTCTGGAACGCAACAATGTACAAAATCACAGACTCAAATCCTACTGAAAGACTGTCCCTTGAATTTGTCTACTAGCTCCCACACAAATGTGAGTGTGTTACTAGCAAGGTGCTTGTAAAACGGTGTAATTGGATTTCCACAGCAGCGTTTGTATATGCACGCTTGTTGGGGCTGACTGCACGCTCCACAGCCTCTTACAAATGCATGTTAATTCTTTCTCAAGAGTTCATTAGGCTCTCTAAGCATGACAGGATTCAGATGTACATGGATCTTGCTACGTTGACAGCAGTGTCCTGCTGGGTGACATGCTATACTCAATCCAAAATTAGTTTTTTAATATTTAAAATTTTTTTTAATTCTAATTTAATATTTAGATTTTTAAATATTCATGCAAAGCCACATTGCTTACAGAATCACTTCCTTCAAAAACTGAACTTCTGATGTGAGATACATGAATAAATTCTTATTTGATCATCCATTTTTGTTTATATAGGTGACACTTATGACATTGTGTCTACATCCGACGCACATGGCACCCTTTACGGTCAATATGAGACGCAGATATATGGGCCAGAATACGCCTCCTAGTGGTCTAACCCTAACCCTACCCCAGACCTAAACCTACCCATAACCGAAGCGTGTTATATTGACGCTAAAGGGTGCCATGCGTCGGATTTAGACGCCATGTCAAAAGCGTCACCTATATGATGCCCTAGGATGAGAATGCGTTGTTACATATCAATGTTGGGAGATCAGAATGATCCACCCAGATTACCTGGAGAGTCAATGTTTAAAAGTCCGCCAAACCTTCAACTGTTTCTGGTTCTGTGTAGCACCTGCTGCTCTGCACATCCTTCTGAATGATCCCAAAGTTGGAAGTTTATTTGTACATTCCAAGCGATTTTTATTTTTTATTTCTCACAATTGCCAGTTTATATCATGCAATTTTGACTTTATGACTTGCAATTACGAGTTTAAACCACACAATTCTGACTTTATATTTCACAAAATAGCTAGTTTATATCTCGCAATTGTGAGAAAAATGTCAAAATTATGAGAAAAAAAATGTCACAATTCCTTTTTTTTTGTTTGTTTTTCATTATGTGGCGAAATCAAGCTTCCATACAAGGTTGATCATTTCTGTCTATCTTTAATTTTATTAAAGGGTAACTAAACCCCTCAAATATTTGAGAAATGCTGAAAAAGTGGGCAGACCCCAGCGGAGATAGAGGGGACGAAATAGATGCTAAAACACTTTATTCTGATCGTTTTCAATACTCGCAATTCCAACTCCTGACTGGTTTTGACGAAACAAGCTGGTTTTTATACTGCCAAGGGCGTAGCTCTTACCAAGAGCGTGGTGAGCTGAAACCTGCGTACGTCACGAAGTGCGGAACATCCAATAGGAAAATTCAACTGCAGTAGCCACCGTTCAGCCTGAAGAGGGCAGCACTAAGACGTTTTTACACCATATATTGTAGAAATAAAACACTTTATACATAAATGTCAAAAAAGTTACTCGAATCAATGACTGGATTTAATAAAGATCCAGTCTTACAGATCATTAACTAAAAAAGTTGGTTTAGGGTTTAGTTACTCTTTAATTAGGCTACACAAATAAATATGAATTGTTTTGTCACAAATCGATGCAACCAAAAAGTTGTTTTTAAAGAATAAGACAGTTAATATTATATTAATCCCAACAACAAACCTGCTTCCCATATGAGTGAACCAATTTTAAAAAAAAAAAAAAAAAAAAAAAAAAACTTAATATCTTGGCACCAGGGGAAATAATAATAATAGAAAAATGTTTGATACGAACCCTTCAAGAGAACTGTAAAAATCCAATAGGGCATTGGAAATGATTATCTCAGCACCTATACACACTTTCCCTTGAACATTTATAACACGTTTAAACTAAAATGCTGATAGAAATGGTCATCTACATCTATTTATGAATCCAAGGACTTTATATATATGAAAAGGTACATAATCGATACACTCCGAGAGGCATATGTATAAAATGTATTATATGAATAGATTCAATTGATGTGAATTGTCCTTACTCTGAAATACCACTTTTACAATTCCATCATGGCAGCGTAAACCATAACCGCATAGACACCAAATGGCCTGTTATACAAAACACAAAAACATTTTACTGAACTAAAGGCCCACTCAGAAACTCGATGATATGTTGAGTCATTTGCCATAAAACACGCTTTTTAAAATACACCCAGCTCAGGCAATTATACGCAATCAATCTGATAAAGTACACAGAAGACTACAAAGCACAGAATATTTAGCCTCTGAGAATTTCATTAGCGGCTCAACTGCCGTGTTTTACGGCGCAGACACATTTTAGGTCAAGAAACGC